ACCCAAGGAAGTTTTGGTCCACATTTTGTGCTCGAAACTAGTGGACATTTTAGGTAAATTGGCAACATAGACGATAAGGGTCCTTGGCTCTCTGTTATATTGTGCACTGTTACAGTATGTACAGGGCACAGTACATTATGCACACTTTTCTGCAGTGCAATTTCAAGTGCACTGTTTTGTGGTAAATTCTTAATACAATTTATTTACAATTAAACTATTATGGAGTTCTCTGAGAGGCTGGCAAAATTATGTGATTACTGTTATACTTTGTTTTGCAGTTTGCAGAGTTTGTTGTTGTTTATTTAGTCATTAGTTGTTAATTGTAATATGGTGATGTTTGTTGATTGCCATCTTTATTGAGGTTTGTGTGTTATATGTGGAGGACAATGTGTGTCTGTATAAAACTACTGCACAATGTTTTTGCCTTGCAGGATGTTCTATTCTTTAGAGGCAAAGATTGCTAAGTTCACTTCATACTGTGTAGGCTATATTTACACAAAGGATGGACTAACAAATAAACCCTTGTGTTGCTAATCAATAATTTCCGTTTAGTAATAATCTCCTCAGATTGGTTTTTCCAGTCCATGTGACGTCATGTACTTTGTAATCTGGACATGAGTGTTTGTGATGAAGTATTGTCATGTCTCTAGCATTTACAGTAGTTTCTGTTTAGTAAAAAGCCATGTAGAGCTCTTGAAAACCTTTCTTGGCCATAATAGCAGAAAGAAGATCACTATTATCTTGCTGAAACATGAGTTGCACTCCTGTCACAGTTGAATACCAGCTCTGTGGCACCTACAGTCTCGCCAACATTTTCTCTGACAATTAAGCTTTGTTGCTTTTAACCACTACTGTTTTTTTTCTGTAGTCTCTAAAGCCCAAAATACCATCTATCTTTATTTTCACATCGTCTTCACTTTTCCTGTTTGCTTAAGTGGTGTCCCTGGACGGTTGGTTCTGTCATTTTCTCTGGCCATCACTCCATGAATTAGCTCCTGGTAATCACGTTTCCACTTCCGTCATCATGCTTACACACGGAAGCTATTATTTTCGTAGCCATTAATTAGTGTTATGCTGTGTTTAGAAATCCCTGTTGTCAAAAAATGAACTCCAGCCATCTCATGGGTGTTAGCTCATATATGGAATGTGTAACCACGCTGGGGTTTGTGTGTTCACAGAGACCGTAATCTGTTTTAGCAGCTAGCTCAAATGCATCACAAATTGTGCTGATATACTGTAGTTGCTTCTGTGTTTGCCAGTATGTGGATTTAGGTGAAATCGTGATATGCCAGGGTTCAGATTTAAAGCTTTAAAGAGCTTGATCCATGTAAACCCAAGATGACGCAGCAGTCCTTTTTAAAAGCTACTCTTTTGACGTTGCTCTAATGAAGTATATAGGCTATCAAAAAGTAGCATGTTTTGGGAAGTACTATGGTATGAGAAAATGATAACCATTTAGTGACATGGTATATATATATACCAAAGTGCCATGTCATTATCATTTGATGCCATGATTGTACCATGGTACCTCTTCAGTTCTTTTTTTGTAATCAAATTTAGGCCTTTTTATGAGCCTGGAAATGTTTGTCTTACATTTTGGCCAGAATTAACAGCCTTCCACCACCAACTATTGTATACCGAATAACAATGTATTGTTCATAGCAAAACAGTTATTTCTGCCTAAAATAGCATACTATAGCCTAACCACTTATTACATAAAATCTTAATTGCTTTTCTAGAGCTCTTTGAATATAAACATATTATTAATTTATCCACCCTGAGAGGCAGAACTGCTGGATTGCTTCTGTAGCATTATAAAGACCCACATACCGTATACTCCACCAGAAGATCCTGATTAGGTAATTGTCCACTTCCACTTAATGCAACCATATTGCTAAATACAAAAATCTAAGCCTTTTGTTTAATTTCAAAACTGATATCCTATAATGGACAAATGATTTAAAACAGAGTCATAACTCGCCAGAATGTTAAGTTATGAAAGAGATCAAAACCAATATAAAGAGAATGTACTTAACTGATAACCTTGTTACTTTTTGAACCCCCTATGATATTATGCAAATAGCTGCAAAAACATTTCTCTGCCACTTTCTTATTTTGGTTCTTTTGGTCTTGTTGTATTGTATCCATTTCTATCTGGCAGACCTTTCAGCCATTTAAGCAAAAACATATAAAACTGTCCATTTTTAAGTCTTGCCTTAACCTGTTTAATACCATTTGAATTTGAACGCAGCTGTCAGTTTATTTTCACATCAATCACCAACACTTAACGTCTGGAGATTAGCATGTTTAATTTCTAGCATATTTTGTATTTAAGTACGTGCTCCAAACAGCACAACCCTGTCAAGCTTTTGAGTCATCACTTTACGGCTAGTTCAAGTGCACAAAGTAGAACGGCTACTTTCCTGGTGTTAAATTTGTGTCTTTTTTCCTTCAGTGTTTGTTTCTTTGTAGCACACTTCACTAAACATCCTCTGCACTGTGAACTCCCTTTACATTTGCTCCTTTTTAGTTATCTTGAACGACTTGTTTTTTAATCAGAAAAAAAAGGAACAGTTTCTTTGAAGAAATGTATCAAGAACAGAGGAACATGTAAGGAAACTGAACAAGGCGATGTCTGGAAATTTCTCAGATGGCTCTGAGAAATAGATTCTCTTCTATCCTCGCTCTCAGCCAGACGGCGGCGTTTGAGCCTGTGGATGTGTTAGGAAATATTTAGTAAAGATCAATAATGCCATCCGCCATGTTGGAGCTCCCTGTCACTGCAGAGGCTTGACTGGATCGAAGCCTGACTCAGAGCCCTGCAGGCCCAATGGCTGCACAATCATGTCCTCATGTCCACATGACTTTATGGGTATTTACTGTAAATTAGGTTTGAGGATGTTTTGGCTGTGTAAATTATAGGGAGACTGTGATTCATTTTACTCCAGATAATATTTATCAGTGTGGGGTTATTTTTCAGTCAGTTCCTGTATAGACATTTATGTTCAAGTCTTGCTACAAAAAACAGCTATGAGACGATCAATGTTATTAACTCTTTTTTTTTTTTTTTTTGCATATGGGGGTTACATATGCACATGATCATATGTAATCATGTGCATATGTAAAATAATGCAATCACCAACATTAAACTAGCATATAAATCAAAACTGCCAAATGTCACTGAATGAAATGTCAACCTTGGACGAGCTATAGGACTGTGCGAGCTTTAGGGGTGTTGATGGACTCGATCTACTCCATCTTTGTTTGATTATCGTTCTGAATCCGATCTGAATGTAGTCTTTGACAAAAACGTGATTTTCTCAGCTTTTTGCTCAAAATGTTGCTGTTTTATGAAACAAGTGGTGATATAAAAAAAAGAATGCATGAAAATAAAATACAACTTTTTTTTGTTTGTTTTTTAAAGCAGGGTCTGTTCTTTCTTTTAATATATTGCATGTTCAGATATTTATACAACAAAATATTCTGGGGGCAAATGACATGTTTGTGAAAATGGTCAAAAGTGCTGGTGGTGGCTGGCAACGTTTTTCAAAACTGGGGGCGGGGAAAGAGTTAAACACAAAGCATCATAAAAAAATGGAAAGACTAACATACAAAATATTACATAATTGCTGTAGCATACAGAAATTGTAATTCTATTAACAAAAATTATTTATAATAATAATAAAAAAATGAATGAGTATAAAACCACAGCATTTAAATCGCATGTCCTAAGAATACAGTTAAATCAATCTTAAAACCTGGTTAAAATCTACCTTGGTTACAATTTTAATTTATAATGTAGTTGAACCTTGCTTTATCATTATTTTTTGGGGTGAACAAGTGAACATAATAAAAACAAACTGCATACATGCATTTAAATTTTATTTAAATTTTAATTTGGAGGACAGAATTCACACACACAAAATAAATCTAATTTAAAGTCAATAGCTATGTTTCCATTCCATTGCGAATCTAACTTATGCTCAAAATTGGAATATCACTTAAAACATTTGCAAATAAACCAGCGTTTCCATCCCATGTGTTCAAGAGAACAAAATCGTCACTTCCCGGGAAATTGGTGCGAAATATCCTAAATAAAAATAGAAGTTGCAAGGAACAAGGTAGCCAATGTTACTCTTTTTTCCTACATCATACGAAATGTTATCTTGCATTCGGATGCCTGATGTTTGGGAATGCAATCATGTGAGACGCTCCTGGGAGGTCATTATACCAAATCATTCTGATGACAGACTTTTGCTCAGACATTTCAGAATGATGAAGCCAACATTTGAGATGCTGTGCAATGAAATTGGTCCGCTGGTTAGTCCAATTATCCAATCACTGTTGAGGCAAAGTCAAGGGAGTTTTTTGTTGCACATCGAGTGTTTTGTTCAGTAAATGTGTTTCCATCGTAGTTTGTGCTCATGGCTTCTTATCGGATAAAAATGTATATTTTATGATTGGCACATTTTTGGAATTTATTTTTCCATCCAGCATTTTTTAATGCGATATCCCAAAATGCTCATAAAAATAGCTGGACGGAAGCAGCTAATGTGAAACTTAAGTTTTGACCATTGTGAAATTTGTAAGCGAAACAGAATATTGGGGAATATGTACATATTTTTAAAGCTGTAAATTAAAAAAAAAACAAGAGCTTTAAAAGAGTCAAGAGGTTTTTTTTGTCAGTTTGTGAATTTGCTAAATGCTAATGCTTTCTGTCTTTGATATTGGCACTGAAATCAATTTTTAATCAGCAGTGTAATTAAGTAATAGATTCAGTTCATTATTTGATCTGAAATGTCATAGGTCTTCGAACATTCTCTTTTTTACAAACATCCACCCACCTACATTCACACACAGATACACACACACCTAACAGTTACAGCACATTTGTAAATGTGTGATGCCATGTGTCTGTGTCTATGAGGCTGTACTGTGTTTTTGTTCTTTTTTGAGTCATATCAAATTAGACCACTAACAGATCTCTCTGCGCACCATAGGATTGAAAAAACGCACCAGGAAGGCCTTCGGGATACGGAAGAAAGAAAAGGACACTGACTCTACGTAAGTTTCACTAATATATACACCAGTATTAACCCTATACCTACTGTATCATATTTGATCAAAACTTTGCTGAAATACCTGTTATACACAATCTATTACATGCCTTCTGTCGTTTGATTGATAGCTTATACTTTTTTTAGCAAGTTCAAGTCCTTTTAGTATCATTCTAAAAACGAACGCCGTAGTACACGTCTTTTTGCTTTAGCTATTTTTATAAAGTTAACACAAGAATGACTATTGTTAATAATATTTCAAGATGAACATGTTTTGGACTGAAACAACTTAGGTTTACTTGGTTGTCCATCATTTTTTATGAGCTATCAGAATTTAATTAAAATTTTTAGCCATATACATTTCAGCAACTGCACCTAAATGCATATTTTGCTCAGTCTGGGCCTCTGATTAAACTTGAAGTCCTTTTTTCTCCACAAGTATGAACTCCATATTATCCCATATCATGCTATGAGTAATAAAAGCCTAGTGTATGAAATATGCAAACAATTTTACAGAGTTATAGAACTTAATGAAGTAATAGCTGTGCTTCCAAAGGCAGGCTGAAGGAGTTCTCTCACAAACTCATCAGTAATGGAGCATTTGCTGCTTTTATGCTTTGAATCCCTGTCCCCTGCTTCATGGCGTGAAAAGGCTGTAGATGAATAGATGATGTCTGTTTTGAGAGTGTGTCTGCCCAACACACAGGTGTTTCTGTGCCTCACAGCGAAGCCTGGCTAATTGCTTCTGTGGTTGAGTTGAAAAAAGAGAGGCTTGCATGTTAAGTGGGCATTAAAGATCTCTTTGTCTCTTTCTTTTGTGTTCTCTGTTTTTAGGGGGTCACCAGACAGAGATGGTGGAGTAAGTACCTCTTAACTTACAGCATCATTTCAAGAGCCAAATGTGCTATTATTTGTATTTTGGAATTTGAATCAATGTTTGTTTTAATTAGGGCTGCAAAAGTTGATGCATTAACATACGCAAATTAATTAAATGTTTATTCAACACATGTATTCAATTCATTCTGTTCTTTGTGAATTCTGAGAACTGAGTGATTTAAATATTCTGAGCTAATTAAAGCAGCAAGGCAAGCACACACACACACACACACACACACACACACACACGGAGAAGAGCCTAGCAGACCATCCGTTTTTCAGTAAAGGATGACAAAATACCTTTTTATGGGTAATTTAACTATAAAATAAGCCTTGATGGGATTTAACAAAAGTAAATTCATTTGCATTCTTTGTAAAGTAAAATGTAATTATCATCAAAGATCAACGAGGGAAATATTTACCCACAAGTGAAGCACAATGGTTCATTAAAACGTTAATGCAAAAACTGTTAATGTCTTTTGATGGTTGAATAGTTTGACAGCCCTAGTTTTAATGCATCAGATAATCAGTGTTAATGTAAGCTTTTTTTTTTTTATGTGAAGCCTTATGTGAATTCGAGATTTGAAATGGTGGAAAATAATTCAAATGATGTCTTTATTTTCTTTATGATGGATGACCGTGACACAGGAAACCCAAGAGACTGAATCGGTACTGAATATAGAGACAGAAGTCATTTAGCTAGAAGTGAATACTCACTAAGCACCTGTAGATTCCCTCAGCGGCACCCCTAAATAGGCCAAACTCATCTCATCTGAATATCAGGGAATTTAAGTGATGTTACTAAAGTTGTGTTTTGATTTGCTCAGTCACAGAAAAAGACCAATGGGGCTCCAAATGGCTTCTGCGGGGAGATTGATTGGGAGAGATATGTAAGTACATCTTTCAAGATACAAAGGTAAAGCATATGACAGCTAAAGCCTACTACATTAATGGCCATTTAATTTAAACTATCAAATAATACTACTGCTTCTGTAATAAAAATCTCACTTCAGTTCTTTTCTTTTGCAGAACTCGCCTGAGCTAGATGAAGAAGGATATAGCATCAGGCCAGAGGAGGAAGAGGGAGATATCCTTTAATAGAGCCATAAATGACTTTGATTTCATTTTGAATAAACAATCATAATTGTGTTATTTAATTCTTAAGAATGTGTAAGGTCTCTAAAATTCATCCAGTGTTTTAATCATGGCAATTTACAACTGATCCCTTAACAGCCGTCCACCAGCCCCCAAAGAGAAGACTCACTTTTTCTCCTCCAGTGAGTCTGAAGAAGAGGAGGACCACCGCAAAAAGTTTAAGATCAAAATCAAACCCCTGCCAGCAGACGCTAACTTTGCAGCGCCCTCGGTAGATGAATTAAAAGCCTCCATAGGCAACTTAGCTCTGTCTCCCTCGCCTCTGGTGAGTCCAGCCAATGTTACCCATGCATCCCAAGCTTATGATGTCATTTCTTGTCACTTTTTCTTCCTTAAACTTAACATAGTAGAGAATATTGTGCCGTGTGATACTGTATGGCTTAATGGTTTTGTGCTTTGTACTTATTTGGACACCCCTTACAAAAAGGGTACTGTGAAAGTACCATGGTAGAATGATGCTTATATAGGGTACAATGGGGCTAAAGGTGCTTTAGGTTCAAGCCAAACTTGGCTAACAGTAGATAGGCCTTCTTTCTTTTTTCTTTTTTTTTTTGTGGAGCCTTGCTTGTAGATGTGTGGTTAATATGAGGATATCTCACTGTGGAGGCTGGTGCTGGAGAGAGCAGTGTGAGCAGTTCAGATGGAGCTGTATGCCATTTTAATAGTTCCAAAACACCTACCTGCCATTTCACTAAAAACATTGTTGAGTTTCGGCAATCTATATAGCTGCATCCTGTTAGTTAAAGCTATTTTAGGGAGTTTTAAATTATAATTTTGAACATGTGCAGGAAAATGTGTGTACCCTTCATATATATGTGTGGACAGCACCCGTCTAATCATTCTCCACTGGCTCAAAACAGACTTATCTTGCAAAACAGTATTCAAATTAGCAAGATAATTATATAAAGCATTTATGTTACAAAAGATTTATTTTTCAAATGCTGTTCTTTTGAATTTTCTATTCATCAATGCATCCAGAAAAAAAAGTATCATGGTTTCCACAAAAATATTAAGCAGCACAGCATTTTCAACATTGATAATAATAATAAATGTTTCACTAATCATCATATTAGAATGATTTCTGAAGGATCATGTGACACTGAAGACTGGAGTAACGATGCTGAAAAATTAACTTTGCCATCTCAGGAAATAAATTACTTTTACTCATTTTAAAATAATTTTAAATAGTTATTATAAATTGCAATCATATTTGACTGTTTTACTGTATTTCAGCCTTGGTGAGCATAAGAGACTTATTTAAAAAAACATAAAAAAAATTTTACCAACCCCAAACTTTTGAACGGTATAGTGTGTACATGGTAGTACAATGATACTTTTGGTACTTCGTGTTAGTGAATTCAGTTTACAATTTTAATAAATCTACTTTAGCCCTTCTGAATACCATACAGATGACTAGCTTTTGCTGATAACATTTTCCAAATCATCCATCAGATTGTATTAAATAATTTGATAACCATTAACTCACAAGCTAGAATATGCTGAGAACATCCGGTTCATATGGCGTGTGCGGTTAAGATTCTACAAAGATTATCTCTCCAAACTTAAGTATTGACTTTTAAAAACTTTTTTCATTGATGAAATCATCTAAAGTGTGTCTGAGTCTGACAGAGGTCATTCAGATGAGATATGGTGTAGATGAGTCTTATCTGACTCACTGAGCGTGTCTTTATCTGGAGTCAGGGAGAGTAGGAGTTTCAGGCGGAGTCTCTTAGACTAGAGTGTCGCTCTGTTCTCTTTCAATAATTCAGCTTGGAAACTGGGCACAATGACTCCGCCGCTGCATAGTGCGGCAGGCCTACTGACAGGTAGGCATCCCGGCCAGAACGTGTCACAAGAAGAACTTGCACGCTAAATTATTCACACACAGATACATACAACTCTGTCAATGAGCTTTTAAAGCCCTTTTTGTGTCTTGTCAATCAGTCTTACTCAGATCTACAACTCAGGACCACCTACCGGGCCTTTTCTTGTTCTGCTTTGTTCCTGAAATTAATTGGCACTCAGATTGGTCTTTTGCTGCCTGTCACAAAGTAATTATCTTTTCTGGGGTTTTCATTAGCTCTTATTCCCAAAGTTAATTCTGCACGTCTATGAATCCCTCTCTCAGTATACTCAATGAATGCTAATCCACAACCTTGAGCAGTATTCTGAATGCTTTCAAACAGGTGACACCCCCTGTCTGCTGTTGGTTGAACAAACGCACCGCCCCACCCAATTCACACCTTTGGTTGAGTCAGTTGTTTTGCCTTTGCTGGGCTGAACAGAATGCTCAAGCAAACAGTGTCACATGATCCTTTAGAAATCATTCTAATGTGATGATTTGCTGCTCAAGAAACATTTCTTCTTATTATCGATGTTGAAATGTCGATGTTTTTTCAGGATTGTTTAAAAGAACAGCATTTATTTGAAATAGAAATCTTTTGTAACAAATTTAAAAGTCTACTCTCAATTTTGATAAAATTGAATGCATCATTGATGAATAACAGTTTAACAAGTTTAGGGTCCAATTCTCACTATTAACTAGTTGCTTATTCATATCACTATAGGATATTGGCTGTTTATCAGTACTTATAAAGCACATATTAATGCGTTATTCTGCGTGGCCATATTCTAAATCCCTTAATACCTAAACGTAACAACTACCTTACTAACTATTAATAAGCAATTAAGTTTATTTAGGCATAAGTCGTAGTTAAGAATAGTGAGAATAGGCTTTATGCCGAGCGTCACGTGACCAAGCCGGAAAACAGATCACATCGCTTCCGATTCAGGTCTTTTGTATGTGCTTCATGAAATTTTTTGCGGTTTTACTCAAGATAACTTAAAAGGAGCAAGCAAAAATGAGCATAACCAATGTCCCTCGCATGTGCAGATTGATATTTAAAAGTTTTTTAATTTTTCTTCTTCACACTAACGTTTAGATATTTAAATAGCATAAAACACCAATAACAAAGTGAACTTAGTAGGTTAGCTGATTACCTTAAAAATCCATAGATATCGTAGTTAGTTCTTACGGCCGTTAACACTTTCTCTGACAAGCGGATGCAATGAGACCCGTTTTCCGGTTTGGTCACGTGACGCTCGGCATAAAGCCTATTGGACCCTAATCTAAAGTGTGACCAAACTTTTTAGTGCCCCCAAACTCTTAAACAGTAGTGTATATTCAGTAAATGTCGAATACCTTTCTATGCACATTTTGAAAGTTATATTGTTATATACCAAAATTTGCATATAATGTTTAACTACACCCTGCTAATTAAATTTTTAGAAAAATCATCCTACAAATGGTTTACTTGTAGCCTGGGAAAACCCAGACAACTTCCGGCAAATTTAGATTTGCTCTGCAAGTTAGTCTGGCAAAGAGCTCATTCAAGCCCATTTCTAATCCGTCGAAATCGCGGCACCAATCAGAAACGTTGGGGCAGGCTTTACACAATGACGACAGCACAGTGACAGTGAAGCAGATTTTGTACATTTACAAAGATGGATGCCGCCGTGGAACTAGGGGTGTGATGGTTATAGTTGAACACCGTCATTAGAACTCTATAACCGCCAAAACCATGTTATAAAAATATTTTTTTCACAAAAATGTATTATCATAGAGAATGTTTAAATACTAATATCAGCTTACGAGGGAAACGGAGGCGGAGTTAGTGGTGCTTCGGAGGCTGCTACTGCTGGAGATGATTCGGGAGAGGTCTGTGCCCCTTTACCGATCAGAGCGCGCGCTGACACGGAGTAAAGCCTTGTTTATACTCGACGCGTCCGCACGAGTGCGAAGGTTCGCGCGGCAAAAATGGTGCGTTCGGTGTCGGTCCGCAAGACCCCATTTCGCTTGGCTGTGTGCACGGCTTTTTTTGTAACAGCGCGCGCGGCGCCGCGGCCGAGGATGAACGACTTCAAGCCGAATCTGCCCGAGCATGTACGTCTCACCGCACTGGCACGCAGCTTGCGTGTCTAAATTGCAAAGTTCATTGCCAAGTTTTTTTTGTTAAGGTGTTGTTTACTGTGTGTGATTTGTTTAATGGAAAGGACATTCACTTCTAGTTGTCTTGCTGTTAATTTTAAATAAACGTAGAGCAAGTAGCTAATCAGTGTCTGCTCTATAACAGACGAACGTCGCTCTGCATACGCTCTGATTAGTTTTAGGTCTATCCAATTGCGCCCAGAGGCATTTGAGCTACGTCCGTTGGTGACGCCCCTTTGGAAATGATTTGTCTATGAAGTTTTGCCAGACCATAACTAAGTTACAACTGAGAATGGTCTGGTTTTAACCAGGCTAGTTTACTTGTACTTTCTTTGTATTTTAACATTGAAAAATGACACGTTCTTTAAGCAGACTTATTTTGACCTCAGTGACTGAAATCCACTTTGTCCAGTATATTGGAACGTCTGGCATTCCTTACTCATGAATTAATCATCAGTCACATGCCCGTCCTCTGCCATGGCAACCTGTGCGTATTTGTGTAACCATGGTGATGGATTAGCCATGAATACTCAACAGAAAAGTGTGAGCAAGGTTGAACAACAGAAACCATACAATAATGATCGTGCTCGCTCTCATTTCATCAGAGGAGAGTGATAATTCATACATCTTGTTGTATTCTCTACTATACTTCACCTGAGTAGTCAGGACAGAGATATTACATCCAGCCAACCATCCAGAACGCAGGGAGAGATTAATGTAACGGTGGGGTTACAGTCGAGCAAAAGCACAAAGGCATGGGGGTTCTTAATATAGCACACCTCTCGGCCAGGTGCTGGGTTCCAGCTGGTATTCATGTTTTATTGATAAGCTTTGCCCATATACAAAAGACCTTAATAAAGAAGCAGTCATCCAACAAGAGTTAATAAAGCCACATATTGTTAACCCAGTGTGCTCAGAGCCTGTTTGATCATTCGACAGTCTTAATTCCAAACTGTGCAGCAGAATGTTGACATGTAGCAAGTCACATTTTTTTAAAGAAAATGTTCACCCAAACTAACGAAAATGTTGCCATTTATCCACCCTAAACTTGTTACAAACCCATATGACTTTTCTTTTATGGAGTCCTCATGAGAATAAATATTTTAGAATGTCCACATGTGCTTTTTAATTATGGAGATTGGAGCTGTGAAGTGTGATGCTCCAAAAATAATTTAACAAATACCATTAAAAGGAGCCCATACATCTTGTATGCTCTTTTATACATTTTTTAAAGGTGTTTAATAGTTTTGTATCAGGGAAAACACAAAAATAGTGGCTAATTTAAAAATGTCATCACTTTGCCATAGCCTTATTATGCATCATGCCTATACAAATTGATTGTTGTTTCATAAAAAAGAACAACAATAAAAACTAATCTGGGAAATGCTTCAATAAACTACTGTTCAAAAGTTTGGGCTGAGTAATATGTATGTATGTATGTATGTATGTATGTATATATGTTCTGTATATAAATATAAAATAATATATTAAATTCAAGTAAAGTAAAGACATTCTAGTAACATTCTATTCCAAATAAATGCTGTTCTTTTGGAGTTTTTCTATTCATCAAAGAATCTTGAAAAAAATGTATCAGGGTTTCCACAAAAATGTTAAGCACCACAACTGTTTTCAACATTGATAATAATAAGAAATGTTTCTTGAGCTAAAATAAATAAATAAAAACTGCATATTTGCAATCACAGGAATGATTTACAGCTTTAAAGATGTTAAAATAGACCATTTAAATCCGCACAAGATCCGATTTTTCCGCATCCGTTCTGAGCCACTTCCAAATGTGGTTTTAAATCAGATACATATCCGATATCTGGACATCCGACCTACACCTAAACACGTTTATCCAGATTTCCCTTGGAATTACAAGCCAACACAAGGCGGTAACACATAAGTTGTAGTTAAGAATTAGTTAATAGTGAGAATTGGACCCTAATCTAAAGTGTGACCAAACTTTTTAGTCCCCCCAAACTCTTAAACAGTAGTGTATATTCAGTAAATGTCAAATAGTTTTCTATGCACATTTTGAAAGTTATATTTGTTATATACCAAAATTTACACAAAGATACTGTAGATTTATAATGTTGTATTATGAAGCAGACGTGCCTGTATGCACCAGGACTAAAACTCACAGCATTTTTACTGAGGTGGAAACTTAATAGTTTAGTTTAGTTCTTACCATGCTACGAAAATAACAAATGAAAATAACCGTTATTTTCCGGTCTATATCTGAACCATGAGATTTTGCGCTGCAAACATCCATGACCACTTTTAATTTATCCATGCTGGCAAATAATCATGGCCACCCGATGTGAATTATAAAATAATTTTAGTATGGCCATTCAATACCTAAGGGTCAACAATGTCACATGGTAAAGTGATCACCAACAGAATTAGCAAGCAGATATTGGATACCAGTCATGTCTAAAGTGAATGTAAACAGGCTGTACAGAAAAAATGACATTAGGTCACATCTTTGCATTAAGACTTGCCGTGTAAACAACTTCTTTCAAAATCTGAAGGACCCCTAACTTTTGAATGGTAGTGTATAATATTGTGTTCCATGGAAATATAAAAATCAAATATAAGTTTGGAACCACATGAATAATTGATAACAGAATTTAAATTTTTGGGTGAAACATTCCTTTAATGTGCTTATTAAATTGATTTTTAATATATTTAGTAGCGTTCACTCAAGCTATGAGTAAAGTCATTCAGGTCACTCACTGAGATCTTGATCTGTTGCCACGTTTGACTGATCTCCTTATTAGCTGAGATATATTATGTGCTGGAGGCGATATCTGTGGTTGACAGAAAAATTGACTGGGTTTGCACAGTGTTTCATCATACTGTAATCTGTGTTTGAAGACATTTCTGCCTTGTCATTCCTCTCAAATTCACGTGTAACGTATTTGTGCATGCTTACCAGCAGCACTATACTAATGTAGATCGATAATGCTCTCTCTTCTTCTGTCTCTACCCTGCCTGTCTTTCTGTTTCTATCTGTCCTTACTCTAATGCTGGCTGATATAGAGGAATAGTCCGGTAAGCTGTTTATACGTTATCCTCTTTTAGAGTGGCATCTTCTTCTAACATTTCTTTTGGCATGGTGAAGTTTGCATGCTTGGTGTTTAACATGCCGTCAGGAACTGATCTAGGATCAGTTTGTGTGTTTAGGGATGGACTGTTGGATATTGAAACAGGCGATAGACTGAATAGACTGTGCAGTTTGTACTTTGTAGTTTCATTATAGATGATGGATGGATGGATGGATGGATGGATGGATGGATGGATGGATGGATGGATGGATGGATGGATGGATAGATAGATAGATATATATGTCATTTTGCATCTGGTGTTTGTTTATGCATGTTTCACTTCAACACTTTCCCTCTGTTTATTATTTGAATGAGTGGGCCACCAGCCTAAGTCATCAGCCCAGCTCTTATATTAAAGCATTTGGTTGCATGCCAATTATTTGCTTGCCCACTCTTGGCTCTGATTGGTGGTGACCATTGCTTACAGCCTATTGGATCATTCCTAATCACTCAGAACTCTCAGACTGAATTTAGAACCCTTGTTCCTGGGCTTAATCCAACTATGATGGAGGGGGAATAAGGAAAAAAATAAATATAATGAGGTTAAATTGGAAAGAATAGATGTCCAAGGAAAAATTTCTTGTCCTTTCGTTTCTATTCTAACTGAATTTGGTCCAGGAGTATTATGCATGACCACAAAATTTCCCACCATATGGCGAATCTTTGAAATCTCTTTGTAGTGAGCTGAGCAGTTCATACTTTCTATGCTTTGGGATCCTCTGAAGACTAAACAGTGCTGAGACAAGCAGTACTGCACAGGTGCAATGTTGGCAATATGTGCATAAATGCCTGAAATCTGGATGTTTCATACCTTCTCGAGCTACATTGTAGTTTTATGTAATAAACAGATCAAAATTGAAGTAATTCACTCTTGAATTGTCACTGCCTTCATTGGGTCTCAAAAAACTGATCTTTAATTGAAAATCATCACTAAAGCACAGCATAAAGGTGAACATAGTCTAATTCACAACATGCAGTTCAGGAACAGAGGTTGCTTTTGATCGAAGTCTGTATTACTGATTTATCACTTTCTGACTAGGTGTCTCTTCTCTCTTCCTTTTTGCTGGTCACAGAGACGTAGCCCGGTAAGTGCCTTTTACAATAATTTTTCTGTTCACTAGTGCTTGAAACACTTTATGATTCAGTTGAAGCAGTCATACAGAGGGAGAACTTTTGAATTGTGAAGATACCAATGTTATCAATTTAATGAAATAAGCAAAATATTACATGTTTAAAGAGACTTAATAGATGATATTTCCATATAAAGATGCAAAGGTCAGGACCAGTAAAAAGTATTATTTTTATTTTCAAAGTTTATTAACTACTACTCTTTACAGGCGTCACTTTTTAAAAAGCTAACATTAGTACTCTTATTCACTTTTTCTCCCTCATCTGTTCTTTTCTACCTAATAAAAGGCCCATGTGAATATAAATAATGCTTGCTTTTGTGCTATAGTTCTATGACACCAAAAAATGCTTACTTTGGAAATCAAGCAAATGCCTTTTTAATAATTTGTATGCTGGTTGCCGTAGAGCCTTGCATAAGCTATGTTAAAGATTCTTAATCTTAATACTGTATGATATCTATTATCTCACCTTTTAGTCTAAAGAATGCCATTCTGACTTAAAAGGAAAAACAAATGCTGTGGTCTATTTGATATTCATATCCACCATGAAGAACCTGTGATGTAATAACATTTATGACAGTGTTATTTGTTACTAATGCATCAGTGAGTCAGATAAGATTGTTCATCAGTCAATCATAGGAATTTTCTGTCAGCTGTAGAATGCATTATGAAAAAGGAATTTACTGGGCATCAAGGCATTGGCTCTGTCTGAGTTTGACTCACCATTCCCTTGATTAAATTTACCCACAATGCAATATTTTCAGCTGATGAGCGAAATGGTGTTATGAGCTTTTAGTCTTATGAATGTTTTGGCCTTCTGTCTGTTTCAGGGGCTGGCAAAAAGAAACCCCAGTAAGTACACTTAATACAATTTATTCTTAGGTTTATGAGTCTGTTGTCTATGTCTATTTAAATCTGACAAAAAATAGTTGTCTGGAATTAAATTATCCTGTGAATAAAGAAGTGTGCTTGCATATGTAGGAGTAGGTGTAGTGTATTTGTGTTCATATGAACATGATGTTATTCTCAGGTGAAGAAATTGCACGACCGAGACGTGTTGTTCCAACGCCCGCACCAGCTCTTGCCCCGTCTACAACACCTGCATCTGCGCCTGCACCTGCATCTGCGCCTCCACCTCCACCTCCGCCTGCGCCTGCGCCTGCGCCTGCACCCACTCCCGAGCCTGCTAGGTATCTATACGCACATTTACACACTTTTTGTCTGTTATTTCTAAGGGTATTATTGTTCAAAAAACGATTACAAATACGACAACTAGCAAAGAAAAAATTATTTTGTTAACTAAAATAAAAATAAAATAAATGAACTTTGCAGAAGACCAAAAATTAAACTGGAAGTATACTAAATGTGTACCAAAAAAACTAAAGCAAATTACAAATTAAAATTGTTTTACTTCTTCCCACTCCATTTTCAAGCATACGTGTATAATTTGTTATTATTGTGTATCTTTTCTGTTGTCACACTATTTTGCTTGAAATAAATAAATAAATAAATAAATAAAAAAAAATAAAAATAAAAATATATTTTTTCAGCCAAAGCTGGATGGTCTGATTTAATTAATCTCACAAGCCTGACTGTAATATAACTGCTCAATTAAACAGGTTGCTTTTTGTACATGGCATTTAGGTCTAGGTAAAATAAATTTTGCTGCAAATTTTTTTTATGATAAATGCAGCATTAATGGCGCATTTATATTACATTTTATTGTCCACAAGTACTGCAGTATGTAGTGTTGGTGTGAATTTTACAAAAATATTAGTTATGTTAATGGTGTTATTTTCAGTATGGTGCAGTATCTGATAAAGTGCATTGTGTGTCATCATAGGTAGATTGAACAATTTGTGCAGTAACTACAATTTCTGGAACTGAAACTAAATAAAATCTCAAAGTATTTATTTACCAATTAAAATATCTAGTTCAGTCATTAAACTCTTGAGGACGCAGGCTGATAGGTCCTTTACATGCAATCCGCAAGCGATTACATAATTACCTCATGACACAAGCTGATTGGCCTCTGCTGATCCTGCAAGCCAATGAGATTGCTTGCTCAACAAAAAAATAGCCTGGGGCTGAATCCGAAATCGCCATTCACCATTCCCTACGTTAGTCCACTAATACTGTTCACTTAAAGAAGTGAATGAAAAGGAGTGAGCGAATTCAGACAGCCGTTGAGCGTACATCGGTTGTACACTCGTTATTGCAGTGCAATGTAATGTGGGATTGAATAAGTGCACTCAATATCGTTCACTATGGTTTCGGACACCACTACAAATGGCTATCCCCTAAAATAACGCCCTATTTAAGGGTATAGGGGGTGATTTCGGATTCAGCCTGGTTCATTGTTTGCTGTAAGCTAGCCTGCAGCGTGCTATCAGAGTTCCTCTGAAACTTCCACCTCCCCTAGCTCCACCTGAGATCTGCTACAAGATTTTGTGTCTATTTATGCAATAGCAGCATATCTTACATGCTCACAGCAGTGTGTCTGTGTATCTATTAGCAGTAGCAAGTCCATACTTGCTCTGCAGCAACAATAATCAACAAAAGCAGCATCAGTGCAGCAGGTCTAGTCCGCCAAGACCAAATACATTAACATTACCATGTTCAATAACATGTTAAAACTATTCAGAGAGTTGACATGATTGAACTAAGTAAAACCTCAATTGAAAACCAAAATACAAAACAGAATACAAATAAAAACTAGTTACATTCTAAATAAAAAACTATGCTTACAGTATATATAGCCATGCTTGTTGCAACTTAAGAGTCTTTTAAAAATTGTAGTTGTTTAACTGAGTCTAAATGGATTATATCACAAACTGTTAGAGTTGCAGCCTGAATGTGACTAGTCTGCATCTGTGTTGATGAGTCATGCAGATCTGGCTTAATTCTCCTCCATTTTAGTAATAAGAAATCTCCAGTGCCAGAGGATGCAACAGCCTTATTCGGCCCTCCACTGGAGACAGCCTTCGATGAGCAGAAGACTAGTGAAGGTACAGTATATCACCATATCCTTACCTCTTAGTTCTGCTCATGGATGTTGATCTGTCATTTACAGGGTCACTGGATTTTAACCATTCACAATCCAATAGAAGCTGATCACGGCCCAGATTCTTTGTGTTACTTTATTCACTTGAACAAAAATATTTTTCTGTCATATACAATATGTGTCTTCAGGAGACTCACAGAGGGTATAAAGATGATGCTCATATTTCAGCTATAAGTATTTAAAAGTACTGTTTGTTTGCTTATAAAATCAGTACTGGTTTTTAGCTTTATGTAATGTGAACTATAGAACAAAACATTCATCAGTGCGTACTAGTTGTGTTGCCACCCACTCAATTCCATTTGCAGCAGTTGAGATTAAAACAATTAGATTTACTGGCCATTTATGACAGATATAGGGATAGATAAGTGTTGCATGGTGATTCCTTCCTCTCTGTGAGTCACACAGCTGTTAATTCTGCTCCCCATCAACTGTGTATCATGTCCTTTTCCATAAATTAGCGGTGATAGAGGAACCTGAGGTTTGGGGTGCACCCCTGCCTGAGCAACACCTAGAATCCTCACTGGCAACACCTTTTCCTACAGGAAGTAAGTCATTGCTTGTGTGGCATGATTGCCATCATCCTGGTATCATAAACCCATAAGTTCCAAAATGGTGAACGGTCGACTGAATGGAAAAATCATGATTGCCTCCAGTTTTTTCATTTTAACTTCCCCTTTGGCAGTCTCCATTAACCTACTAATTTCTCAAGTCATTAGCTATGAAAGCAATAAAGAGTCATCCAGCTCATCCTGTACTCATGTCTTTTGGTGACGGTTTACTCAACGTGGCCTATTTTCATGTGTGCCTATGCTTAAAAAAAGCAAAATGACGCTGAGCTGTATCTGTGGGCTTAAGTTAAGCTTAAGGCTACAATTATAAATGAAATTTTGGCCTTCTAATAGTGATATATCTCTGAATGTATATTTACATAAATATGTTAATACTAGGGCTTACATGACTACTCATTTTTACTAGATGACCAGTTGTCTAGGAAAGTAGCCGACTGTGAACTGAGTCAGTATTTACCCTCTATCAATGACTCAAAGACTAGCTGCCTCAACGGTCTGGGCAGCTGGAGAGTTCGATGCGGTGAGAATGTTAAAAATTGTAAAGTGCTTAAACTATTAATTTAACAAAGCTAATAACATGCACATACATGGATGCAATTTGTGTACAGAGGAATAATCTTTTTGTTGCCATATGAAACAGACTAAAGACTAGTTGTAGAACTAATGCAACTCTATTTCTCATTGCTAAAAACTTGGTATGTCAATAGAATAAAATAAATAATTTCTAATCAGTCTTTTGAAATTAGAATGAAACAGTAATCATATAAGCTTTGGTGTATGTTTAATTAAAACAAATTTATAAACATGTTAATTCTGAGAGCTCTAGTAAAATCTTTTTTCTATCAAATTTTATATGACCCTTTAAGCACCCTTGTGGCCCCCTGACGGTCCCCGGGTCCTAATTTGAAAACCCTTGGACTAGAGAACTAATCATAGAAATGATTGACTATTTGACTAGTCTGTGCAAGCCCTGGTAGATACACACTAAACAAATAAGTGATCCTTACATAAATTAACATAAAAAATGGTTACATCCTAAATAATATGAAAGTAGTGTGAACTTCTAGGTCACAGAGAGTGAAGGGTTATCATCGAGTCTGAGCTATTCGTCCCATGCCACAGTCCCTTTCTGTTGTCCCTGACTGCCTGAATGAGACCTTGCCTTTGCATGGTGCTGTGGGGCATGAAGACATGGCCTACGGGGGGTGGGGGGTGTATGTGAGAGCTTATCTTAGCTGCACTAATGTCATTGCAGCTCTGCCTCCGCTTCCGCCTAAGAATGTGCCGACCTCCCCTCCTCCGATTGAATCTCCTGCTACAGAGCCTACTGGTAAGATCCCCCTCCACCCAGGCCTCAGATAACAGGGGTCTTATACTGCTCCTGGAGGGCCACTGTCCTGCAGATTTTAGTGCCACTAATTCAGCACTCCTCAACCAAATAATAAAGGTCTTGAGGCATACTAGAAACTTCCAGGCAGGTGTGTTGGATCTAAATTCTGCAGGATGTTGGCCTTCTAGGAGCAGGTTTGGACCCCCCTGGTCTATACCAATATTGGACCCCAACAAGTGTGTGATTGGTTTATTTTGTGCTTGTCTTTTGGCACTCTGTCTTTTATCTCTTGCCTTTTCATTTGCCTTGCCTTCTGTTTATGGCCTGCTAATAATTTGTTCTGTTCCATTATGATATCTGTGTGGTACCTGATGCAGATGTACAGAAAGAAGAGGAAAATTCAAGGCTGACCTCACAGAGGCCCTCTATAACTGATCTGGACAACATCTTTGGTCCAGAAGACTCTCCAAAACCTGGTCAAGATGCTGAAGACAAATGGGTCTGCTTCAATGATGCGTCACCTGAAAGACTTCCTCCCTCTGAAGGAGGAGTGCCAGCACCTCCACTCCCCTTGTCTCCGCCTCCCCCAGCAGAACCAGCACCCCCAGTACCTAAATCACCCCCTCCATCTGAGGAGCCGAACCTTTCTTTACCAAAATCTTCACCTCCTCCTGCAGAGCCGGCACCTTCTCCTCCTTCCAGTGAGTCACACAGGGAAAGCCCCCCACCTGTTCCAAATGTTCCCAAAGACACCACTCCTTCTCCTCCAACTGTCCCGCCTCCTCCGGTGGAAGAGGCCCCGCCCCCACCAACACCAGATGATTTTTTTCAATCCACTACAGACTTTTCGTCATGTGCTTCTCTGACAGAGACCCGATCAGACTCAACCAACAGCCCGCCAACCACTATAGAGACAAGTGTACGCACAATCCCTCCGCCCTTGGTTCTGAACCAAGAGGACAAGAAAAGCCCTGATGAGATCCCATCTAAAGAGGACCCCAGTGAGAGCAGCACTTCACCCAAAGAGATTTGTCAAGGACCACGTTCAACACCTCCTCCTCCACCACCTCCTACATACAGGGCGGTAGTGTCATCACCAGGGCCCATTCCTCCAGCTAGTACTGGTGGAAATGAAAGTGGTGAGTCTGATCTAAAAATAAAACAGTCAACCGGACCATTGGTCACTGAACATTAACGGTTTAGTTCACCCGAAAATTAGAATTCTGTCATCATTTACTTACCCACCTGTATTTTGAAACCCGAACGAGGTTTTTTTTTCTGTGGAGCACAAAATGAGTTATTAGCAGAAAGCTTGTCTTTGAAAGTAAATGATAGCCATGGCTATCAAGCAAGATTTTCCAAAAAAAATATATATATATAAATTCAGTGAATACTTCAGTCTGTTCCTCACACAAAACTATCATATGGCTTCAGAATACCTGAAATATAGAGCTAAAGTCAATAGGACTTCTTTTATTATGCTTTTTTGGTCCTTTTTGGAGCTTGACAACTGCTGGTCTCCATCCACTCTCATTATTTGAATGAGAGCAGCTCAGACATCTGGTAAACGTCTCCTGTATGTCACTGAAGAACGAAAGGTTTGAATGATGACTAATAATCAGTATTTAATTTTAGGTAAACTAACCCTTTAAAAAATGACAACCACCAATATAAAAAAATCCACGTTATTGAATAAACACATTTTGATTTATAGAATATACCCTTGGGTAATAAGGAGTAACAAAAGTTTCTGTATATTGAAAATGCATATAAATTCAGTTAAGTCTGAATTTCAAGTCGTTCTGCTCTAGTCACCACCATGTTATATGAGTTTTTACAGGAGAGCCTTCTTAGTAAGAGGGGTCAAATAATGTTTTGTTTTCATTGTTTCCACAGTATATTCTAAGCATCCTGGCTTTCTATAGATGATTTGTGAGGCTATTTTGATCAAGTATCATAACTTTTTTTAATGTATTGCCATTTTATCCAAATCAGGTAGAACTCTTGAATGGGCTTGATGCATGTTACTGTTTGTATGGCTTTGCTTTAATGGAATACTCTTGCTCCACAGGCTCCTCCTCCCCTGTACGCCCATCTACCCCATTGGCTACCAGCAGCTCTCCCCCTCCCCCTCCCCCACCTCGGCCACCCTCACGACCCAAACTGCCTCCAGGGAAACCAAGCGTAGGGGATGTGGTACGTGATAACATAAAAAAAAATCAATACTTTCAAATGGTAAATATTACTGTCCCTGTTAGTTCCCAACAGTCTCAGTGTCACTGACCCTTTTATGACCCAATTAATTTTAAAAACCTTTATAGGGTGTAAGAACTCGTTCCTCAGAAAACCAGACCCAGCCTAAAAGTTGACATTTACTACATATTTAGTTTTCATTCAATAAAATTCTTTATTTAATGAAACAAAAAAGAGTAAATTTCCTCCTGATTACCTGACCAGAATGATAAACTCCTACTCTTTAGTTACTGAATATCCCCTCTGTCTATTCTTTCTTTTCCCTGCTTTTCCTATCAGAATCGGCCGTTCAGCCCCCCTGTACACTCGTCAAGCCCCCCTCCTCTGGCTCCGCTGGCCCGTGCGGAGAGCACCTCTTCCATCTCCTCCACCAACTCTCTGAGTGCTGCCACCACTCCCACCGTCGGTAAAGAGCTCTCCGTGTCTGTGTCAGGTGTGACTCCATTTCCCATCATTCTCTCTGCTTTGCGATGCTGCTCCGTCTTTATGTGTCTGCTCTGGAAATCAGCCTTTATCTAGAATTCAGTGTAACAGGAGCCTCTGTTTCTTAAGGTGCCATAGTGCTCAGTATTTATCACAGTTTTGAATTCACTGTAATGATATTTTCACAGCTTTGTTTTAGTTTAGAGTAAAACAGTATGGTGATGCTGCTGATGCTGATGATGCTGCTGTTTAGTTTATAATACTGAAGTGAAATCTACAGCATTCTGCAGTCATGTATTAGATCGCTGGAAATGATTCATTGCTTTGCTGAAAATACAGTTTTGCATATCATAGACTGAATAATAGCATGACTGTTTGCCTATTGTGCATTTTTATGTCTTGTTTAATATTGCTGGGATTAATTGGATATTTTATATATTATATTATATTAGTTAAATTATAATCCCTAAAATTCTTAATCTGTATGTATCTTTACATTGTAAAAAATAAACAAAGGCCTAAAACGGCGTTATGCGATTTACAAAAAAAAAAAAAAATACTAACTAAAATGCATGTTTGAGCTAACTTGCAGTGACATATCTTAAAATGTATCAGTGCCTTTGTTTTGTCTGAAGATACACACCAGTAATGTGTTTTCTAAGGCACGTTTATAAAAGCCACTTAAATACTCTTATTTAACTAAGGCCTAGTCCTGGCTTAGTCTAAGGGCCCTTTCACACCTACCTTGTTTGGTCCGGACTTTCGGACTTTTCAGTTTGGTCCGAATCAAAATTACAGGTGTGAAACCTACCTCGGACCACGGTCCGGACCAAACCGATGAAATTTGGTCCGACGAAAAGAGGTAGTCTCGGTCCGGATCAAACTGAACAAAGGTTTGGTTCGTTTCTAGTGTGAAAGCATTTCTGTATGGTTCGGACTTTCAGACCTTTTACAGGAAGGTGGTAGCACATGGGGAGAGGAAGAGACGAGGTTTTTAATTGAAGTATGGTCTGATGACATAATAAGAAGTCAACTTGCAGTCTTCTCCTCCTTTCCTGCCGGCGACGATAAAATGTTCGCACGACGAGGACTTTCATTTGGCGAATTTGAACTAGCCTTGTGTATAGTTGGTGCTGCAGGTAATTATTCCATAAAAATAACAATATAGTTGCAACGATATGCGTCTGTTCATTCATGTTGTCAAAGTTACCCGCCGAATTGACAACACGCTGACGTCAGACGCACGTCCATTTACAAAACCAATCAATAGGCTTGTTTGAGATGCGCCTTGCCTCACCTGAAATGTATGCGAGAGTAGGCGGCTGCAGTGAGGGGAGGAGTGAAAAAAGCGCAGGCAAGCCGGATAGATCTCTCTTCTCGCACATGTTCTCGCAGTGGATCAGACACCTGTGAGATCAAAGGCGGATATCGCGGGATTCACGGGATTCACGCCCGTGCACGGTGTTGCTAATAAACTGGATGTAATTTAAGTTTTGTTGCTTTTATATGAAAATAAATATAATGAACAAGACACCCAAAGTACTTATTTAATTCCATTTTAAATAGGCCTACGTGTTTATCAATATTTTTTTCTTTAATACAGAAAAAATATATTACATCACATAGATCGCACTGTGAGAGAGTTTGGGAATATCCACACATAATTTATACACATAAAACATGATATCAGAGTTTTAAAATAATGTTTTTAAAAGAGAACAATACATCACGGTTGTTTAAACCAATGAGCATTAAGCTGTGTCGTCATCAAGTCGTTTCCGGTCGTTTCCCATCGTGCTTTTGATCAGCGAAGTCGGTGGAGAGCAACTGCGCGCGACTGCAGAATCCGACACGTGCGCCTTGCGGTCGCGAGAGTTTTTTGACATACGTCAGCATGACATCAGAGCAAGGCGGACCGCACTCGGACACATGCATCTCGCGCTGATCACCGGTGGTCGGTTCTCCGCAGATTTTGCTCATCTCAAACAAGCCTAATGTCAAGATGCAGCTCACATAGATGATGACGACAGGACGCAAGTATGTCACGTAAAGTTCTTTAGTGCGCTCGCATAATTGCAGTGTGAAACCAAACCAAAACTTTCTGAAAGTATAAAATGTATCAAAACGTGAACTTTGGTTCGGACTTTCAGGTGTGAAAACGCTCTAAGCCCTGTCTGTGAAACCAAGCCAATGTGTCTTTGCTGGACTTTTCAAAATGCCATGTATGGCATCTGCTGTACCAGTCTGAATGCTTTTATTGGAAGCTTTCATTGATGCTAGGCAGGGAAAGATTTTGTTCCATATTTTCCTGAGATTTGCAAACAGTTTTGTCATGTGAATCAAGAGTTTATTAATCTAGAGCTTTTCATGGATGTTGGTCTATCTGGTGCTTGAGCTATTCCATCTTTTTCTTTTTCTTTTTTTTATCCTTTTGGATTTTTTTTTTTTACCACTCCATTCACATTTTCTTCAGTTATCGTCTTTTTTAGTCTTTTAAATCTGTGCCATGCATACATTGTGACGTCTGAGTTTAATGACTTGTTACTTTTTAGTTTTTATTTGCAATTATTTGTCATTTAATTTGAATTACGTTTATTTTTTTATTTTTTTGTGTGTGTTTTGTCGTCTTTCTTGTCCTGTCTTTTGGGCTGACGTATTTGTCTGATGTCAGAAGATGACGCTTTTGTAGACAAACTTCCCAACTTTGAGAGACGGGCAGACGTTCCAGCAGGTACGCTATGAAACCCTCCTGATTTAATGGATGGGATGGAGACCACTGATTCAACAATGTAACAAATGGTTACATTACCCATAGAGTCAGTTGTCAGAGCATAGCTCATTCATGGTGATATTTTTTTTTTCCACCAGTGACTAAACTAGTAAATAAGATTAAAAATGAGTTGATTTTCACATAAAGAGTCTTTAAAGGAATTTAACAAGTCATTTGCGACTTAATGTCTATTGGCAGAATTGTTGGCTTGTTGTCGATTACAGAAATACATTTATAATGGAAGCTTGGCATTAGAGCTGGCAGTACAGATAAGAAACTTTTAAAAATATGCTACTATCACAGCACAAACCGTAACTAATGTAAGAATAACTATAACAATTGAATGGAGGCTTGTTAGCAGACTAGTGTGATAAAAACGGCATACAGCCTTATCTGTGCAGTTATATTCAACTCATGTCTGAGCAGCTAAAAAAGTGAACATGGATGCTTTCGTTGGGACATGGAACATGAGCTAAGTTGAACTCTTAGTAATATATTTGGTAACTAAAAAATGTATACTTCGTATTCTCAATTCTGATTGGATGAGCCATATTTGAAGCTGTTGAAAAATAATACATATAGTGAATTATTGTAAATTAAAAAAATAATAAACACACAGTCACACACTGTGACTGGATATTCTAAATGAATTTTTACATAATAATGTTGCTTAACAACTGCAAAATCCTACAGTTAGGTTATTGAACTATATACTTTGCAGAATAACTATTATGATTGTTATTAATAATAAATTGAACTGTCTTTTGTCATATGGCTGTTGCTGCTATTGTATAAAATGATGCATTTACTGTTTATTTCTTATAAACTTGTACTTTATGTAGTGATCAGCAGCATACCTCAGATTCTGTCCATAGACATTAGGTTATAAATAACCCAGAATATTCCTTTAATTAAAGACTGGCATTTTTAGCACATAAATATATATTTTTTTAAAACACTATTTGCCACAGTATTTACTTTTACATCCATTTTGAATTCTTTCTGCCATATTTTGCTCTTCACATCCATGAAAGATGACATGTCTATTTAGCCCATCATCCATGTCAGAGACTGCTCCATCTGTAACACCCCACACTGACATCAAGAACCAGGAACAGAAGAGTCTTTTAGTCCCTGAAAAGCATCTGTCTGGCTGTAGACTCTTCAGAAAACTCAAAGAGCACCACCATGCTGCTTGAACAGATGACACACACACACACACATACACATCCTCTCAGTGTTTGAAGTGCGGTCTGGAATTTGGCCCAAGTGGCAGCAGTGCTGATCAGTATGCCTGCCTCCACATACGTTTGAGTGGAGAGCTCTCAGATGTTGCACCTGGATAAAAGCATTTCTAACATCATCATGTTACAAAGGTCGAGCTTTACTGCCACATAAATTTAGTCTTCACAGGTGAAATTCACATATTTAAATTTTATCTTCATTATCCTATGCTGCATTTCATTCAAATTCAAATGTGGGATATTCCTACTTGATATCTCTGACTATAAAGTGCCAGATGCTCAGAGGATGACATACATAATTTTCTTCGCAATTATTATTGTCAAAAATTAAGACTAATCTGCAAGGGTGTGATTATCACCAGAGGATCATTTACTGTGTTTTATCTCTCTCTCCCAATTTCCTAAACAGTTTTTTTAAATCCTATAATGTAAGAACTACATTTAGAGTCATTAATGAGTCATTAATTCATTGTATTTGCTTAAAAGTAGATGTTAGATCTCCCTGGGTTGCAATATGCAAAAATCATCAATATAACAGTTCAAGATTACGCATTGAGATGCTCAGCATTATTGTACAACTCGCATCTTCTCATTGCTTAAGTGATCTTCACTTCATTCATAGTCCTGGTCCTGGTTTTGTCTAAAGTTGTATTACCACTCTCCAGCACAGTAGAAGAAGCCCTCATTTGCTTTTCCCACTTGTGTCACCCATTACCACCCCCTGTTGCCCATCATCCCTACTGCAGCTACCTCATCCAATTCACATATCAGACATGAAGAAATAGGCCTATACACCATATACGTTTAACAAAACGCAATCTGTAGCTTATTAGGTCCATATTGTGAAGATGTAACCAAAAGCACTTTTTAAATACCTATTTTAAAAGAAATAGTTTAACCAAAAATGAAATTTACTCATGTTGTTCTAAAGCCCTTCGCAATTAATTCTTCCATAGAACAACTGAAATAACAAAAACAATATAAAAGCACCATAAACGTATATGTTGATTTAAGTTTGTTTGAGGAACAGACTGAAATGTAAGTCACGATTTACTGATAATCTTCCTCTCCAGCCAGGATCATTAAACTCAAGAATCAAATGAAGAACAATTCTTTCACGAAAAATTTCAGAAGACTTGGAATATTGTGCTATGATACTTTATTGTCAAGTTGCTTTAGACACCATCATCTTCTTAATGAATACACGTAAATGCAAGGGTGCTTTTTTGTCAATTTTAGAGAAAAAGTTACAGTATATGGGTTTAAAATGTCAAAAGGGTGAGTGACTATTACAGAACGTTTCATTTTGGATGATCTATTCCTTCAAAAGTTAAAAAATAAGCTGTTTAACATCATCCTTGAATCCAGAGGCTTTCGTTTCTAAGCAGCTCAAATCATCTCAAGCGTTCATCTGTCCTGATATTATAAACGAATCAGAAGGTTAAAATATTTGATAGAATATCATTTTTGTACACTCTTTGAATCTCCCAGCTCTCAAAAAAATTGAAGTTTGCACATGGATCCTTATTAATAACAACTATAAATCTGAAGCTAATAGCACCTTAAATCCGTAATTCGTCTTGCTGCAAATAAAATGACTGATACTTACACAAAGATTGAACTATTTTTATTGTTTTCCCTTTTGTGAATGTCTCACACATCATATTCATCCCCATCTAAAGATAATTGTGACCATCTTTGACCTTTGACCTGTGCCCCCGGCCCCCATCATTGTGCCGTATGATGGACCTGTGTGTGACTCACGCTACTGTCCTTCTCTCCCCTTCTCCTTCCCTGCCTCTCCTCACTCCCCCCGTCCTTATACCTCCTCCCCCTCCAACACAGAGACAGACCAGCCCTCCCTCGTGTGGTTTGACAGAGGCAAGTTTTATTTAACCTTTGAAGGTAAGTTGGGGTTTATATCTAAGGACGTAGCGCGTGCACACTCAAGTCTCATCTGACATCTGACTCCCCCCTTTCTCACGCATTCGTTCCTTCATCAAATCACCATGACATCTGCTTTGCTCTGTATATCTGCTTTGCCATTTAACTGTTCATCTTACAGTCACTGGCAGCTTTTCTGTTCCTTCACGACCATCATATTTCCTCCTGCGTCACTAATATGTCTTCTGGTTCTTGTGGCTCGTCTGCTTTGAACTTTTCATTTCGACTTTGGTCTTGGATCATCATAACACATTGCTTCAGCTTCAGGTGCATGCCATTGAAGCTGAGTGTTATCTGTTTCAACTTCCATTCAACTTCTCTTCCATTCTTTTTTATAAATACAAATTAATAGACTTGCATTCAAATTCAAGCATTTCAATAAAGACTAGAAACGGCTTCACGTAAAAAAGCATAAATTGTATTACATTCTGTTAAAAAAGAAATACTGAAAAACGGGTCAAAAATCACCTTGTGACTGTGATTCACTGTTTACCACAGTTCAAACCTCTGTGTAAACATACCGTGGTACAGTAATGTTTAGACACTTTTGAACGCTTAAGCCACACTGAAAAATATATCAAACCATGTTTCATCTTGCTAAAAATGCCACTATACTGTACCTTTTCTATTATTATTTGAAGCAGATAAAGCAAACTTTTCGACTTGGTTTGGTATTTTGTTTTATAATGCAAAGGCAGATTTTTAAATGTGAAATAAGTGTCCTTACGTTAAGGATCGTTTCCTAATCACTGAAACTTAACGACAATAATTAATACGTTAAATAATACAGATATACTTTATAGTTTTAATGCTACTTTATTTACCAATGTCTTTGCTGTTGACTTTCAAAGAGAAAAATTTAACGATATAAACAACCAAAATGCTTGTCTTTATTTATTTTTATGTTTTTATTTTTGAAATTAGTTATCCAGTTAACAGGCGTGAATTTACATTTTCTTGCCTGACGCATTTAGTGCGAAAGAGACACTCGTCGGCAATTTAGTTGTTTTTCTGCGTTGTGTTTGCTATGCCCAAAGTGAGCGATCTGTCCTTTGAGAGGGCATTAGGTGAAATCCACAGTAATCTTCAGCATTGAAAATAAGCTCAAAATAAGAAAATAAACTTGAACACTTTTACTGGCAAGTCCTAACAATGTGATCAAGACAAATAAGCAGAAAATAGTGTTCATCTGGAGAAGGCATTGTGCTAGATTTTAGGTCTGGGTTCAAGCGCCTTGCTAAAATACAAAGGAAGAAATTCGTTTTGTCAGCTGCTGATTGTATTGTTTGTCTTATTTGTTTGTATTTCCATTTCTCTCATTCTTTGTCACCCATGTATTTGCCTCTTGTGATGTAGCTCAGTGACTGATCGAAATTGTGTTTTTGTCTGTAAACACATTGTGACTCGGAGTCTGTGGTGTGTGTGTGTGCGTGTTTTTGTTCTCTCAGGCTGTTCGCGAGGGCCCAGTCCCCTCACCATGGGGGCCCAGGACACGCTGCCTGTGGCTGCAGCTTTCACAGAGACAGTCAGTGCCTACTTCAAAGGAGCTGACCTCAATAAGTATGACACGATATCTCAAAACAGATTCACATCTAGCTCTGTAGTTCTACTTTGTGTGTGAATAAAGAACAAAATGATTATTTATCCGTTTCTTCGTTGAGAAATGCACACCTAGAACATTTTAGTAAGAGATATTATTAAATGACATGAACATACAGCTGGCCTTTAGATATCTGTGTCTGTCTGTATTTTGTGTTGCAGTCTAAGGCTGTGTCCTATACCCTTAAATAGAGCACTCTTTGAGGGAACAGCCATTTGTAATGTTGTCTGAAACAATAGTGGACATTATCGAGTGCTCTTATTCAGTCCCATAATGCACCCCAATAACAAGTATAAAACCAATGTACACTCAGTGGCTAGAGAATAACCATAATGCACTTTGAGGGTTGCGCCAAATGAATTCCCGCTGCATTTGAATCATCCATCCATTCATTTTCCAAACCGCTGGTCAATGTTGCTACAGCATAATAATATCATACAGGTATAAATTCCTTTTTAATTGATTATTAAATTGTTTAATTATGGTTTGTGCATAGTTTCCATTACAGTTCAAAATAAATGTTTTCATTTCTACTGGAACAGCCAGTTTGCTAAGTTTCAAATGATTATTAAACAACAAGCACAAATTTTGCAAAAGCAGAAGCCCTTCTGGCGCACTCAGTGACCGAATTCAGGTAGTGAGTTTGATTTGATCCCAGTTACAGTTTAGCTCTTGATCAAATTTTAATATATATATTAAGAAAAAAAAAACGATATTAAGTTTTAATAGTTTAATCCTTGCTAAAGTTAAGAAGCTAGAGTCAGTTAAATAGTTAATTTTCCTTCCCCACATTTAAATAAATAAGTTACATTTTATGACTTGTACATTAATTATTATTATTTTAATGGCTTTGCAATGTAAGCATCATAATAAATATGTACATGAATATGATATGGCCGCAGCTGTTTTGGACACAGCCTTACTTTGAAAGCACATTTAAGTATTGGAACGTCATCTTTCTCCCTTGCTAATCTCTTCTGTTTATCTGTTTTTCTTTCTTATTCACTTTATTACAGCACATAAAATGTTTTATTGATCTCTCTGTTTCTAACACTGTTTCATACACCAGACCTCTCCTTATGTACGTGTTTAATAATGTCGCTCTCTAAGGTGTGTGGTGAAGATCACCGGAGAGATGGTGTTGTCCTTCCCAGCAGGCATCACAAGGCATTTTGCAAATAACCCCTCGCCCGCTGTGCTAACCTTCAGCATAACCAACTACAGTCGTCTGGAACACGTCCTTCCTAACCCACAGTTACTGTGCTGGTAATAACATTGATCTAACATCACCTACAACAGAACCTTCACAGACCTTAAACCCCATCATACAGTATGTATTGATTAGTGATCATTACAAATGTCCTTATTAGTCACACAAGTTAAAGGGTTAGTTCACTTCAGAATTAAAATGTCCTGATCATTTACTCACCACCACGTCACCCAAGATGTTCAGCTTCAGTCGAAAAGAAATTAAGGTTTTTGAGGAAAACATTCCAGGATTTTTCTCCATATAGTGGAGTTCAATGGGGTACAATGGGTTGAAGGTCCAAATTGCAGTTTCAATGCAGGTTCAAAGGGCTCTACACGATCCCAGCCGAGGAATGAGGGTCTTATCTAGCGAAACGATCGTAACAACATTTATATACTTTTTAACCACAAATGCTCGTATTGCACTAGCTCTGTGATGCGCCACACATTACGTAATCAAGTTGAAAGGTAACATGCGACGTAGGCGGAAGTACAGACTTAGTGTTTACAAAGCGAACGTGCAAAGACTAAGTGAAACGCCCTTTACAAAAAAAATATATAAATAAAAGGTAAAACAACGATGTCGGACGATTTTGAAGTTGGAGGACAAAATTAGATAAAAAAAGAGTTTTTCGCCCTACGGAACCAGAACAATGCGTGGCGCATCGCAGAGCTAGTGCAAGACGAACATTTGTGGTTAAAAAGTAAATATATATATATATATATATTATTTTTTTATTTTTGAAATGACCGATCGTTTCGCTAGATAAGACCCTTATTTCTCGGCTGGGATCGTGTAGAGCCCTTTGAAGCTGCATTGAAACTGCAATTTTAACCTTTAACCCGTTGTACCCCATTGTAGTCCACTATATGGAGAAAAATCCTAGAATGTTTTCATCAAAAACCTTAATTTCTTTTCGACTGAAGAAAGAAACACATGAACATCTTGGATGACGTGGGGGTGACTACATTTTCAGGAAATTTTTATTCTGAAGTGAACTAATCCTTTAAGCATCAGCCATGAAATGTATGAATTGTTGCTTATGGACTTTCATAATTAGTAATGGAAGGAGAGTTTGTAACTCATGGTAATACTTAAAGGGATACTCCACTTTTTTTGGAAATAGGCTCATTTTACAACTCCCCCAGAGTTAAACTGTTGAGTTTTACCGTTTTTGAATCCATTCAGCCGATCTCCGGTTCTGGCGGTACCACTTTTAGCATAGCTTAGCATACATCATTGAAGTGGACAAGACCATTAGCATTTCTAAAAAAAAAATGACCAAAGAGTTTCGATATTTTTTCTATTTAAAACTTGACTCTTCTTTAGTTACATCGTGCACTAAGACGTAATGATATGACGCAGCGCCTGAAAATAGTTCCGTTGTGTTGACGGAAGGTAGCCTATTTTCAGGCGCTGCGTCATATCATTACGCCTGCTGCTCTCATGGTACGGCAGTAAAGTTTCTTGATTATTACGCAGGAATGAGAGTATAGTTCCTAGCCATATCAGCCTAGAAAATCGCAAGTTTACATTTTCCGTCGGTCTTAGTGCACGATGTAACTACAGAAGAGTCAAGTTTTAAATAGAAAAAATATCGAAACTCTTTGGTCATTTTTTTTTTAGAAATGCTAATGGTCTTGTCCACTTCAATGATGTATGCTAAGCTATGCTAAAAGTGGTACCGCCAGAACCGGAGATCGGCTGAATGGATTCAAAAACGGTAAAACTCAACAGTTTAACTCTGGGGGAGTTGTAAAATGAGCCTATTTCCAAAAAAAGTGGAGTATCCCTTTAAGTATAGTTAAGCGCATCTTCTCAGGGGGAGATCTCACTTCAGAATCATCCGTGTGCTGCCCACAGTCAGCTGAGGGTGACTCATGTACTGTATGACTAATCACATGTGATTCAACACTTTTGGAGGGTAGTATATCATTCTCTGTTTTCTGTGGGGATGTGATCATTTACTGTTTTTGCAAAAGCATTACTACCCCTCAAATGTTTGGGGTCTCTTATGCTGATCAAAAATACAGTACAAACTGTAATATTGTGAAATTTGTCATTTATTCCTGTGATGGTAAAGCTGAATTTCAGCCTCATTACTCCAGTCTTCAGTGTCACATGATCCTTCAGAAATCATTCTAATGAAACTACATGTACTTATTATAGGGTTAGGGTTTGGTTTAAGGTTAGTTGTAAGTAAGAAACGATAATGCCTATTTGTTTATTTCATTTGAGTAGGATTTGAAGATTGAATGTGCTTTCAAATTCCCTACAGTGACAGCACACAGCCAAATCCAAACTCAAAGGAGTTCTGGGTGAATATGCCAAACCTGATGACCCATTTAAAGAAAGTGTCGGAGCAGAAACCACAGGCAACTTACTACAATGTAGACATGCTGAAATATCAGGTGAGAAGAACCGAACCTCAAAGAAGTATCGACCACAGACATAAGGGCACCTGTAGTCATATTCGGTTTTAGAAAATCTACAACAGGTATTTGCCCTATATCTTATATAAACCATTCTCAATTAGATTTGCTTTGGGACCCATATTTTACTTCGGACATCAAGTAGTTATTTCTAGAGGGCTTTATACAATACAGATTGTTTCAAAGCAGCTTCATGGCGATAAACATCAAAATAACGATCAGTGATGCAAACGTCATCAAGTATAAGATAAGATTCTGCAGATCAAAAAAAAAAAACTGTCAAGTCAGTGTTGATTCAGTTCAGTTTATCATATACGAGTAAACAAAAATGTCCTTAAAAACCAACTTAAATGAACAAAATCAACATTTGCTTTTATTGTTTTTGTGATATTTGAGGATCATCTACCACTTGATTTCCCTCTGTGCATCAGGTGTTACCGAAGGGTCTACAGTCCACTCCTCTAAATCTAGCAGTGAGCTGGAGGTGTGAGCCCACCAGTACCGACCTGAGGATAGACTACAAATACAACGGTGGGGCCATGACCACTCCTGTCGCCCTCAACAATGTTCAGTTCCTCATCCCTGTGGACGGAGGCGTCAGCAAACTGCAGGCTGTGCTTCCTCCGGCTGCTTGGTGAGGGACTCTTCTAGAAATGACAAATCGTCATTGTGAAAATCAAGCATTATGATGGACCCTTTTCACAGACTGTGATGATGATGCGATTCCACGGTTATCAACATCACAAATCTAGTAAAGTTTCCAAAAATGTATACATTTATAACGTTATACTTGTTATAACGGTATACTTGTTGGCGTTATATTACCTTGGCAGTAATGAGAGAAAAATGAGAATTGATGCTGCTGTGAGAGTGGAAAGTTGTGGAAATGCTACAGATTTTTCTTTTGCTATTAGACTAAATGGAATACAAAAATGTAATTTGCTGTCTTCTCCCTACTACGACGATTTCCACTTTTGAGAACCCCCCTGAAATGTGAAAAGTGTGCATTGTACTTTAGTTATAGAGTTTGAAAAATTATACTCTGAATAGTTCTAGATTTGATGGAAGAGATCGTTTGACAATTTTCTTTCTTTCTAGATAATATACTAATCTTATTGGTACCTTTATAGGAATGCGGAACAGCAGAGAATCTTATGGAAGATTCCTGATATTTCGCAGAAGTCTGAGAATGGAGGTGAGAATCATGATTAAATTTTGCTTGTATATGCACTGATGTTCAAAAGTTTGGGGTCGGTAAGATTTAAATAAGTCCCTTATCCTCACGAAAGGCTTCATTTATTTGATCAAAAATACAGTAAAAACAGTAATATTGTGAAATATCTTTTTACAATTCATATATTTTAAAATGCAATTTTCTGTGATGGCATAGCTGAATTTTCAGCATCATTACTCCAGTGTACAGTGTCACATGATCCTTCAGAAATGAGTGAATCATTCAATCACATAGAATAATTTCATATTATTATCAATGCTGAAAACGGATGTGATGCTTAATACTTTTATGGAAACCGTGATGCATGTTTTTTTATTTTATTTTTATTTGATGAATAGAAAGGTCAAAAGAACAACATTTATTTGAATCATTTAGTAACATAAATGTTTTTACTGCCACCTTTTATCAATTTAATGCATCCTAGCTGAATAAAAGTATTCATTTCTGACCTCAAACCTTTGAACGATAGTGTATATACAGTATCTATAATAAATAATAATAAGTTGACTATTTCTTTTCTCATATGTTCAGGTGTCGGATCTCTGCTGGCCCGTTTCCAGCTAACAGAGGGTCCCAGTAAACCCGCCCCTGTGGCAGTGCAGTTCACCAGTGAGGGCAGCACTCTGTCAGGCTGTGACATCGAACTGGTTGGCCTTGGATATCGTTTTTCCCTTATCAAGAAGAGGTTTGCAGCAGGTGAGTTATGCGCGTGACAGCTGTTTTTGGGCCTAAGAATCTTCCAGAGAGTCAGAGTTCGGTTATTTTGGTTACGAAAATAAGTTACACTGCATGCATTTATTTCAAATGTACAATTGTTTATTCTTTTACCATAGGAAAATACATCGCAGACAACTAAACAGCATCTTTGATCCATGCAAGTCTGCATATTTTGGACCAATTCTGAATATTTAACACAGGACAGATCACAAGCCTGACCCCTACCTGACCTTATGGATAAACCTATGTAGATGTACGATACAGGTGGACCTCACACACTCCAGCAGTATTATATGAGTTGCATTGTAAATGTGGACCGTTTTAGGGTGTACTTCTTATATGTGTGAACTTTATTCACTTTGCAACATCTGTATTACTGCAGTTAAACGACCTGGGTTTGTTCGTAAGGTTTAGCCTCTATTTCTGTCCGATGTGTTATTGGCTGTGCCTACCTGAACCTGAATTCTCTGTATCCTTCTCTAAAAGTGATACTGAACATGTAATGTTTTTCTTTCTCTATGCATTCAGTTTGTCAAAAAGTATCACGTTTTTCGAACAAGGTAGCAAATTAGTACGGTAAACGACTGACTGTCTAAAAGAGGAATACGACTCTGCCACAAGATGGCGCTATACCGTTGCATGTAGTAAGAGGTCTTGCTCAAGCGTTTTTAGTCATGAAAACGTATTCAGGAATATCTCATTTTAATTTCTCAGTGAAGTCAGGTTAATCGAAAAACAATAGAATTGTTTTTTTTTGTTTTTTTTTGAAACTCTTTATAGACAGCCACAGCTTTATAAACCTCCTGCTTGCAATAGACACAAAAAATGATTTTCCTCAACAGAAAAGTCCTTTTAAATTGGTAATATATGACTTGAAGGCCGTTTGGTGTTTTCTTGTATTGTTAAATAGCCTTTCTGTTATTCCCAAGGGAACAGTGTTAGACATCAGAGTACACGACATCACTCTATTTTTATTTATTCATTATGTGTTGTATAAAAAAAGAAACAAGTTACACTGTATATGAATAGACTTTGAATGGTATCATAATTTAGGATCCTTGAAGTTTTTGACTTTTTGTTATCTGTGTAGTCGGGTAAGCTGTGTACAGTAAAATGCTAAGGTATAATTTTTAAATTTATTTCAGATATAAGTTTTTTAATTCAAGTGCAACAGAAAATTTACGCTATATAAATATATATGGGTCGGGGTGACATTTAAAAGAGAAAATGAAACGGGATACTGTATCTACCTAGATGCGTCATGCTTAATGTTATTATAGTGTTATGTATATTGCAGCACTATTAGTTCAACAATGAATTGTCAGCTTTTGGACATTGTAAATTCTTTTCTCATTCACGCAGATGTGTTTGTATCCAGCCTCTCCCCTCAGTGTCCTGAGCATGAGCCCCTGCGCTTGAGAACCTCTTTATTTTGCAAATGGTAACGGTCTCTGTGAGATGACAAGGTTCTTGAGTGGTTCAATGACCAAATTGTTTTTTGTTTTGTTTTTTGTTTCGTTTGTACGTGTATCTCCAGAATTGTCCTTTAAGAGAAAATAAGCTGCATATTTTTTAAATGTTTAAACCTATGAATAAAGTGAAAAATATTGTTTCTTGTGAAAAAAAATGTGTTACTGTTTAACTTCCCAGATGCTCTGATGTTCACTGTCAGGAACAAACATTTTGGTTACATCTTTGAGTGTCTGATGTAGACGTTGTGATGGTTTGGAGAAGATTACTGGTGCTTTGTGATTCATAGGTTTCCATCCACATTTAATGTTAAGGATGAGCGGAGCGTCGCCGTCCGTTAACACTGCATTGCATATTTTCTGAGCACTGTAACTAAAGGTTTTTTTTTATTGCACTGAGTTTAGTCGAAGAACAACTAGGAGTCTCTCAGCTGAAAGAAAAAAAAAACCTATGAGTTCAATTCTGTGTAGTGCTTAACCAGTATGTCTACATGGTCCAAAGTGAAATGTCACTCAGATGTGCAAAAGAAGTGAGAAAACTCATGTCAGTTTGATGTAAGTGGAGCTGTGTGTGTGTGTGTGTGTGTGTGTGTGTGTGTCGAGTTGTGTCTGTGTAGGAGGGTGTGTGTGTGTGTGGGTGTCTGTGTGTGTGCGTGTCTGTGTGTGTGTGTGTGTGTGTGTGTGCGGGCGCTGTCTGGTAACTGTAAATCATCTCTTCCCAGAAACATGTGCAAGCTGTGTTTGTACAAAAAATGTTAACAAAGATCTGAGATTACTTTGCTCTTTCCAAAACAATAAAGCCTGATAAATCGATGTATTGTATTATATTATAGGTGTGTGTGTGTGTGTGTGAGAATAAATACATATATTTACACTATAAAATTTTAAGTTCATTAAAATTAAAACAAATTTGAGTTGATACAACCAACATAAACTCAAAATATTATGTTATCTGAACCACATAAATTATCTAAGTTGATTTGACAAAAGAAAAATATGTTGTGATAACTAATCATGTAAAAAAAAAAATTACAGTGTATATATATGTACATATATACACTGTAAAAGTTTAAGTTCATTGAAATAAAAAAAAATGTTGATACAATGAAGGAGATTGGTTTAATCAACCACATACTTTATCTAAGTTGATTTGACTAAAGAAAAAATGTTGTGACAACAAATCATGTAAAAAGAATGTTACATATATATAAATTATTAACTAATATTTTGTAATCTGTCTGATATGCTCATCTGTGTTATGTAATATATAATAATTGTTTCATTGCACTCATTTTGCTCTAAATTGGTTTACCAAACAAAACTTACGAAGGAGTCGGACAATAAAATATTTGTGAAATCATGGTGATTTTCAGATTCACTGTTTAGAGGTTTAGGGGAAAACACATTTGATGCATACTGTATGCACTAATGTTTATTGACAAAGTTTGCAAAATAAAATTTACAATTAAAACATTTTAATCGCCACAATTACTGCTTTGCACCTCAACACCCAATTTCATTGGTGTTGATAATCATCCTCTTTTCATGGTGCAATTAAAAGTAGGCCTACAAGTGTAGCAGTAGGCTATGATCTAAGACAGCAGGCATAATCTATTGGCAAATTAAGTTGTTATGAATTCCTACCGACTGTACACTTTATAGAGAAGCGTTCATGTTCATCTGAACTCAACAAGGAAGAAAACAAAACAGGGAGACAAATAGAAAACGCAAGTTCAGTCCTCAGCAGAGAAACGTGAGGTCGCTTTTCTTGCAGCCAAACTGACAACAAACATTATCCACATCCAGCTCTCGCCTGATCAGGTCCGATCCCAGACTCTCACTAACATCCTCAGAGCTGCTGAGATCTCCATTAAAAAACCCTGTGGAACGACAAAGGCAAAATACAAAGTTATGTTAAAAACATGTGCGACTTGTTATCTGTATGCAATGCAGGTCTCAAGTGATGTGATGATGGCAGGTAGAGGATCTTCTGACACTCCACAGACAGGAGAGCATGTTTGCTGCACTGTGAAAATGACTTACTCCACATTTGTCAGTCTAATGGGAATGTAATATCACCAGACGTTGTGTATCTGTTGACTGCAGGAGACTTGATTTCACTGATACAATTAAAGCAGTGTTCTGTTAAATATCATCAGGATTGAAGGGCCAGAAAGAGGAAGAGATGCTTAGATACTCATTCAACCACACAGTCATTGGCAATTAGCAAAAGTAAGTAAAGTTTTGTTTACGTATACCTTATAAAACAGTGTTTAAAAAAATTCTAGTTTGCATTTGTCATTATATTCTCATTTATTATTCAATATTTTTCAGTATATTCCCTCTCGCTTTTGATAAAAAAGTTTCCATTTATTAAAACTATATATATATATATACTTATAAAACTTCATTATACTTATATATTCATATATATATCAATATCTACCCTCTTCCTTTGGAACTTATTTAATTATCTGGATTCAAATGTAAGCCCTAGTACAATTAACAGAACTTCTACCGGATGACGGTCTCGCGCACATACAACAAGTATTGTTTTAGAAAAATGCTAATCTTTTTTGTATCTATAATAATTGGATTCATTTGATTAAAATAGATAAATAACAACAATTATGTCTATCATAATCTATGTAAAGAGTTGTATTTAATAAAACAGTACCTTTGTTTCACTAATATAAAGTAAGCACATTTGTTCTAAAGCCCAACACTGAAACCAGCATTTAAGAGGCATGCGATGATTCAGAATTAGCTTGAACCTTACGCCTCATAAGCAAACTCACCTTCCATATCCTTCGGACTGAACCTCCTCCACCTGGAGCCTCCACACGTGTAGACGACCGCACGGATGAACTCTCGGCCACACAGCTTGACGGTCCTCACGTCAGCCTGGACGACGGACACGCTACACACAGCACACAGCAGCAGTACAGCAGGAGAATATAACATTCTCATAGTTGCTCCTCCTGTTCTGCCCTGACGTTTCCTTCTGTCTCTCTAAGGTCCTCTCTATCTTCTGCCAACCTCTCTCAGGTCTAGCGAACGTCTGATTTTCTCATGAGACTTAACCCCAATTTATGCTGGCTCATGCTGGACCGATCCACCTCTCCAAACCCCACCCAACACTTACTTGATCCCCTCAAGTCAAACAACTTTGATGGGAAAACAAAAGGCAGCAGGTATTTAGGTGCTTTACTGCCCCAATCTGGAATTAAATTACATCCTTAGGGACAAGCTGTTGTCTCTTAACATCTCCAGTTTAATGGTCTCATTGCAGTGATATTCTCCTTAATGAATGGATAATCTAGTCACTTAAAGACCAACGGTGCTCTCCGAGTAAAACAGATGTCCACTATCTATTGATGTGACCATCAAATTCTGTTCCCTTAAACCTAGTTGGCCTATGAGGAAAAAGGAGTGCAAATGAACAATATGGCTATAATCCGAGCAATTATGGTTTTATGGCTGATGTGCCCCATGAGATGAATAACAGTATGTCTACTAAGAAAATGACAAAAGTCTGGGGGGGGGGAATCAATACAAGGAAACATATCAAATGAAATGAAAAATATATGACAAAATGATAAGATATTTGCTTCACTGACTCTTGAATGTAATAACTTTGGTAACTTTGAATTTAATAATGCAAAATAAGAGAGGGAAAAATGACTTTTACTATGCTTCCTGGACTAATTAATAAGCAGTTTAGTTTCATTAATAGACATATTTATATGGCACATTAAGCTGATTAGGCAAGGCAAGTAATTATATTATATTATATTAAATGTCTGTTAAATACATTTTAATCCAATTAAGAAAGCTTAGTAAATGTCACATATTTTTTGTAATTTCTTCAATTTTTTTCTTTATTAAATTGAAAATATCACTAAAAGAGGCAGTGAAATAAATATATAATATAATATAATATAATAATCAAAAAACCTTCCTTCAATACAAAAATGTATGTGGGAAAGTTTTTAAAATGTATAAATGACCATATGCCATATGGGTAAAAAAGTTCCAGATACATTAGTAAATATCCATTTCCTGTCATAATGTCACAGCTGTTATTCTTAAAAGCTCTCTTATATAAGCTGAGTTGCATCTTTATTGCTAAATTGTTTGATTTGTACTAAAAAGACCAGATTAGACGCTTTTTTTTAGATGTAAGAGAGAACAACAGTTCAGTAATGACAGTCATTTGTAAAAGTGTGATGTTGTACTCATGTCGTCGATAAGCTGTAATGTGTGGCGGGCAAGTGGTAATAAAACTGTCCATTCGCACAGAACAAACACCTACATTCTGTCTGTATTTCCCACACAAAATGTTTGTATACAAAATATATTGTATTTTTTTTTAATAGCTTCAGAAGCAATGTTGTTATAGTACCTGCGTTGTTAACACAAGTTAACATATAACAACCAAAGGCTTAAAAATACATAAAAGACATTTTCATCTAATCAAAATAAAAAATAAATTCACTGTACTGTAGTTTACCTTAAAACATGCCTTTTTGGAGGAATATATTTATTCCTACATGGATGCACAATAAGGCACAAACAGGCATGTGTGCTGTAATCCCATTGTTATGTAAAATGGAGTCACTCAGTCTGCCAGAGGATATAGATTATGATGATGGAGAGGTAAAAACAAACAGCCTGATCCATCTATGAGCCTGTACCAGTCTTTCCTAATGCTCTTCAGTGTTGACTGGACAGTGTGGACTGAATTACATCCTCCAACGTCTCCACCTGCAGAAACACAAGAGACATAAATGATCTGGGCATTGCACTGAATGATTGAGTTCTTTGAGTTCTGTACGCCACATGGACATGAACAGATAAGGCCTCACCTGTGTGCTACCTCCATCTATGAGGTTCTTCAGCTTGTACACGGTGACCTTCCCTTCACTGTCCCCCACCAGAACACAGTCTGTCTCAGAGGTGAACAGAAGAGCTGTCGGATTCACTCCTGGACAGGTCGCGCTCACAATTGTCGGGTCCAGACTGTTCAAAAAAATGTAGTGCACTGTAAACTACTGGACATAAAAAAACTGAGCACTAAAATTTGAAGTTAAAAAACATTATTGAATATTATAAATGCACAGAACACAAGATCTTACCTGCTGATTCTCAGGTCCCAGATCTCCACCTTGCCCTCACTGACAGCTCCAAAGACAGTAGCACAGTGTGGGGACCACGTGATATCAAACACAGCCTTCTGTCCAGAGGTGAAACAAAGCACGGGTCTCTGGAGGTCCTGCCTCCACAGTTGAATAGTCCAATCTGAGGAACAACTCAGGAAAACGTCTGGACAGAACGGCGACCATGTCACCTTATAGACGGGACCCTGGGGAAAGGAGCAGAGTAGAAGAGAAAGAGAAAGAAAAGAACGTGTGAATGTTTAAAGGTGCATGAAAAGGGACTCCATATTGCAACCATACGACACTTTCAAAATTAGACAAACATTTCTACATACTTTGTGGGCTTTGTAAGTTTCCAAGAATTCTTCATTATATGAATAAGAGCACTTGTGAATATAACCGTCCTCTGTTCCAGCAAGGTAGATATTTGAATCCTGTAAAATAACGGCATTAAAGCTTACAACGAGTCTCTTTAGCAGCTTTTTGATATTATAATTATGTGAACATATAAGAGATGTAATACTGTAGGCCTCACATTAGAATGGAAATCAAAACACAGCCCCGGTGACAATCCTGAGGCCGCTGGGTTCCTATGCTGGTGGTTTGTTTCCATGTTAGGCGTCTTTAGTGTCATCAGGTCTAACTCAAGACAAAATATAAATTATTCAACACATGGCTTAAACATACAGAAATGCATCTATTTCTACTAAAACCAGCTCAACTCGTCAGTATTTTGCAATTGTCTCATATATCTCAATGATAAATATTTGTACATTAGGAAGGTGCAGTCACATTAGAGGAATTTCAGCAAAGTTTTGCAGGCAAAAAATGCTTTATTGGCCATTGTCAATAGAGTAGTGATATATGAAGCCCCGCTCACACAAAAGTCACTTTCTGTTGGTCAATGCTGTAAATTTATAAGAGCGAATCCTGCGTGGGGAACTCATATGACTCAACTCATCAATATGATACAACTCCCAATTGCATGGATTCAATGGATTGGACTGGATTTCACCTGTATAATTTCACCAAGCAATGGTAAATGTGACGCCACCTTAATACAAAAATATATGACTTTGAATTTCATTGTATTTACAAAAGAAACTTTTTTTTTTTTTTTTTTATATGCAGTTTTTATTTATTTATTTTAGCTCAAGAAACATTTCTTATTATTATCAATGTTTTGCATTTGACAGAATAAAGAAAGTCATATAGATTTGGGACAACAAGGTGAGTTATAAGATTATCATTTAAATTTTTTTGCGGGGTGGACTATCCCTTCAAGTGTGCAAATGCTTTTTGGGACCAGTGTTGTAACCCTAGACTATATCTTTGGTCTGTGGCTCTACACATATGTGTATCACATCTGTCTCACTTACCAACACATTCCAGGCATTTGTAGTGCACCCATTTGCAGATTCTTCCATCAGCTGACACAGAGATGAGTATTTCCCCTTTATCCTCTCCAGCCAGACCACTCTCATGATCAATCCATCTGAGCTGCCACACCGGACACGTGTGCATCTTGACGCAGTCACTGTGGCGAGATGACACAGGAGTAAAGTCAATCTAATATAAGAACATGCTTGTGTACATAATCCTGTCAACTCATTCAAATATAATTCAACACAGCATTATAAACACTAAAAAAAAACTTTAAGGTTAGATCTGATCTTTGTAATATTTCCACAATAATTAATTTGGTAACAGTTTATTTTAAGGTGACGTACATTGCTACATGTACTTACTATAGTAAAAACAGTCAATTATGCATAATTACAAGAAACTAACCCTAAACCAAGCCCTAACCCAAACCGTAACTCTATAGTAAGTACATGTACTGTAGTTAAATAATAATACTACTCAGTATGTATTTGAGTAAGTACAATTTAACTATTTCACCTTAAAATAAAGTGTAACTGTGTAAGTGTATTAATCTAATCAAAAATACATTAAAATTATTTTAAATATTAAAATTATAGCGAACTGCATAGCAAAAGAATGCTCAATTATTAACGTGGCATGAAACATTCGAAAAGAAGTATGATTTACCAGCCTAATATATGAATCTTCTGAATATGAGTAATTAATAGAATTTGACTAGATTTTAGATAAATTACCAGCCAAATTACTGAGTTTGATTGGCTGTATATGGGCTTTGACGTCAACAACAAAAGTGTTTTCCCCTCTATTAAACACTGATAGACTATTTATTTCGCTATTCTAACTATAAACATATAATTTAAGAATTTTTTGAGTCGCAAACCACTGATATTGAGAAACCTATTTTAAGTGTATGTTACAATCTGTAACTTCCTGCATGTAGCTGCTCAAGAGAAGAAATGCTCACAGCCCCACCTGCTGTCAATGATGGGCGTTTGTTCTGCGGCCTGGACATTATAAATGGCAATGGTGCCATCATGCATGCCTACTGCCAGCAGATTGGCATTACAAGCTGAGAAATCCAGTGCAGTGACTCCACTCTCACAATGAAAGATTCGATCAGGCCACTGAAACAAATGAACGAACATATTTAAAGAATGTTCACAAAAACTCAAGATAATATGACATGCTAAGGAATACAAATACAGGAAAAGAATACAGTGGCTATAAACAATTTTTTTTGGGGGGGGGGGGGGGGGGGGGGGGGGGGGGGGGGCACTGTATGTGAACACAACATTTAAATGAACAGCTCTTGAGAGGGATCTGATATATAAAATACTTACAAACACTGTTAAATTGGCTACCCAGAAAGCAACATAGTGTCGGCCCAGATCGGGCCCACATCTGGTACGCATTGAATCCACACATGTACCAGATGTGGCCCGGATCTGGGCCGACACTATGTTGCTGTCTGGGTAAATCTGCTATTCATCTTTGTCCTAAAGTGTGCGTGAATGTGCAGAATACCGTGGGGTTCTTCAAAGACCAGCAGCACACAAGTCCAGATTTCTGATCTTTGAAATCAAGCTTTCCATATCCCACGGCAAGAAGATCCTGCAGGGAAACACATGTTGTTCAGTCAAGATTTTTAAAATAAATAAAAAAATCATTTGTGGATGAAACATGTTGGTAAAATGGATAGTACTGGGTTTTTCTTGTTCCAGGTCATACTGCTGACATTTTGCCCCATGGTGAGTTCACACTCAAAGGCCCAAAGATGCTCAAGGAATGGACTCAGGGAGTTTTTAGACCCCATTGCCATCCGCACACAGTCTGGGTCTGTTCAACAAAGCAGTATACATATTCTAGCAAATGCCAAATGTTAATTTAAATTAATATTTAAAAACAAAGGCATTAAAATACTACTGTTACATTTAACATGCAATTTTAGATGCTATACAAAAGACATCACCCTCTATTACAGGCAGTTGTCTGTACGCAGCAAGCTTGGGCTGGAAGATATTGGCCAGAATCACCCTTTCCATCACTGCTAGGTCCTGCTTGAATTTGTCTGACTGTAAGATCAGCTCATGATCTGGCTCTTCCTCCACCAGAAGCACACAGGCCATCTTTTCAAGTTGAGCGCTTGAGCCACTGACTACATTAAAAGCAAGGATGAAAATGAATGTCTTTTTAACAATTTCCATAATGAAATGTGAAATAGCCTAATGACTTGATTTAAAAAGTCAAAAATAAAACAAACAGAAAAAAGAAATTGCCTTAAACATTTAAATGTATTATTATTATTATTATTATTATATAAGTCAATAATCGATAAAGTGTTTAGCCCCTGCTAAGTGAATATGTATTTAATGTAGTCTGGATCAAATTATCTTGTTTGTGCTATATTTTGTAGTTTTCTTTCTTATCCTAACTATGCATGATTATATGATTATATACACAAGCTGAGAATAATTACTCGAAATTGAATGTTTATTTATAAAAAAGAATTACCTGTACTGCTGATGCTGACCATAGACATACTCTGTTCAGGACCCTTAGGGTTCAGGTCCAGGTTACTCATGGAGGAGGAGTCTGGGACATCAGTCTTATTTCCATGATCAGACACCACTGTGTTTCCACTGACATCACTTTTATTGCAGAATGAATCATACATGTCCCAGATGGTGGACATGACAGCTGGATAGAGTGTTTGATGTGAGGAAACAAACAAACATTTGAATCACAATGAAGTGCCTTTTATTTTAAGGGGAGATTATAAATGGTCTTTGTATTGACATCATACCTTTGTCTACCATTGTAATGCTATCACATTGGACCTCCTTCGTCTTTGGTGCACCATTGAATGTTTGCATTGAGCGCTCCACATATTTATCGTTGCCCTGTCTGTTTTTGCACAGTTCTGTGTAAGTGTTGTTCCTTTCCCTTCAAAATGCAAGAAGAAAAAATGGTTTAGCACCATGTAAAAAGTGACTGAGCATGTCTAGCTAGTCAAAATAAATGTGACGTAAATGAGAAATATAAATGCCAAACGAGTCAAATGTCATCAACTGAGTTAATCTTAAAATGGAATTTGAATATTACTGGGAAATGTGACTCACTTGACTGCCTCAGCATCCTCTGAATCTTCTGACACGGACACTGTAGGAATGTCCAGCAGCCAGATAGTCTCTGTCTCAGTCAGGTAACAATCCACCACACTGTCCAATACGTCCTCCCTGACCTGCTCCTGCACCTCCTCTCTACGAGCCTGAACATCTGTATGAAGCAAGCACAGCAAAATATAGTGGAATATCACAATGTTATATTGGAACATTAATTCATCTGATAATTAATGAACGACATGAGTTAATGAGGAAACTTGGCTGATGAAAATATAAAATAAAAACAAAAACCTGAAAGACTGTTAGACAAGTCTTGTTTCACTAACAAGTCTTTAGTTTCATCAGTCGCTGATTCCAATGTCTGGCTTGTTCTGGATGCTGAAATGCTCCCAAAAAAAGACCTGACATGCCAGCAGAGATCACTCATTACTATAGCAACAACAAAAGTGATATTATATAATTATTTGTGGTACAGATTTAAGTGCTGCAAAGAAGCAACATTTTGACATTTCTCCTCAATTACCTAGTAAACGGTCCAGTAATGCTTGCGTTGGTGGTCTGGAAGGCTACCGAGGGAAAGTCTGTCATGGTAGTCCATGATGATGTGTCATGTGCAGGAAATATTTTTCCTTGTTTAGGTTGTAAAACCCCAGGATCTGGATTATATAATGGGCGAGGAGCAACGTCCTGGCCATGTTCATCAAACACCTGGTGAAGTAAGTACAAAAATGAATAAGTTGTCTTTAGATATTCTTTTTTTTTTCATATAGGGAATACAAAAGGAGGCACATGGCGTTAACGGTCAGGAAAACAAGCTGAGTGAAGAAGGTTTTGTGTTTGTTACAGGGGGCTGTCTGTGTGAACTCTCACAATTAAGCTGGTGTTCTGAAAAGGTCTCAAAAAAGAAAGAAAAAAATCTGGATTTTGGAGTTAGTTGAACCAATGTAAAAATGAGAAAGTTGTTTTTTCAATAGACATATTTTTTTGTTTTTGTGTGAAAAGAGGGTGGGTGGTGGCAGTGGGGCTCATTGGGTGCTCAGCACCCCCAAAGCTCTGACCCTAGAATCGCCCCTGTAGGGAATTATATATATATTCATATAGGGAATTTATGCATAATCATAATAAAATGCCCAATACCTGAACAGTGTGTTTTGGTGTTTGGGCCGAGCTTTTGTCAAGAACTTTACTGTCACCTCCCGAACTGAAGCTCTTCCCGCTGAGTGAATGGTTAATGGTTTTTGAAATGCTTTTATTCACACGAAATACTCCAGATGATACATTTAGAGTTTTGGAAGACCTGAAAGAAAGAGAAAACCTGCTTTAGCCTATCAGTTCTATAATATTTATTATGTTGACTTGAATATTTACATTTTCTCCTCCTAGCCTATGAGGAGAAAATGTAAATACTCAAGCCAACATAACTATTATAGAACTGAGAAAGTGTTGTTTAAAAATATTTTAGTTGTAGAATAGCACACCAAACCTTAGGACACTACTTATAAATTCATGTTTAAACTCAAATGTGTAAATTATCGTATGGTAACATGCTGACCGGCAGGTCAAACTAACGTTATTTATAAATGAAGTGTTTGAGTTGCTCTTTGAGCGTTTGTAATGTATGCACTTACTTGGCGACTTTCAGAGCAGGTCTCTTCTGTTTGACTGTTGTGTTTGACATGTTTCACCCTTTTAAAAGCAAGAAATAAAACAGAAGCGGTTGGCTGGGTGGCTTGAAGTTATCCACCTTATTCTGCTCTAAACAATGCGCGCTGCCATGACGACGACTCCGGTTGTCAACTTCCGGTTCGTAGCGATCGACCGGTAAGTTACTAGCAGAGAGAGAATGAGTTCAGGTTCCACATGTGCTGTTGTTGGTTGTTTTAACAATTCAAAGAAGATACAAAACTTTTTAGAAACTGAGTGCTTCGAGCATAAGATAAGAAGGAGAGAATGTCCGTGTCCGGTTCCGTATCAGCTACATTCAATGCCAGAGTGTAGACATTTAGAGTGGTTAGCTGCGCTAAAACTGAAACATCCACCGAAAAAGGTGTACGTCTGCTCGCATCATTTTGTTGACAAACGCCCCACGGATGACCATCCCAACCCGGAATTATACCTTGGATATGACAGACCAGTGGTGAAGAAGAGACGTGCAATTGTTCGTGTCGAAGCGACAGGTAAGCCACTTTTAATGTTGAATTCTGTTGAGTTAACGTTAGCTACCTCCGGTTGTTTACATTTTACAAAATATTTATTTTATTTGTGGGCAGCCTAACCTATATTTTTACAATCAATATGCCCCAGCCTGAAATATTCGTGTCATCTGTGGGCAGTCTAACCTACATTTTATGAATAATATGCCCATTATGTGGATAATATGTAATAATTTTATGTAACACTATGCCCATTATGTAATAATATGCCCATTATATGCCCATAATGTGTTTACATTTTTACGAGCTCCACCGGCCTGAAATATTCTTGTTATCTGTGGGCAGTCTAACCTACAGTTTTTTTTTTAACAATATGCCATTTATGAGTAAATATGTTAAAAACATGGCCATTAATGGTTTATGCCTTTGTCCACCGAATGTTACTGTAGGTTTAATGCTATATGAGTGCTATCTTTATGTGGGCTAGGTAGTTGTTAGCCTGAGCGAGGAAGAGCTTCCATCACCATTTATCATAAGCTTTTACTATAATGTTGTCAGTGTGAGAAACATGGACAGAAAGAGTTTAACATGTAGCCTATGTGCTCTTTTTTTTTTACAGCAACAGCAGAAGTGACAGACCAGGAGGATGAGGGCATACCTGAAGTGCCACAAGTATCATACAGCACTATTTCCACCCAGTGGGAAGATCCATTGCTTTGGGACCACAACTATGGTGAACAGCAGGGTGCTGATGAGACAGCCAAAGATGCCACAACACAAACTGAAGATTTCAGCTACTCCATGCTTCAGAGTGATGCCGATTCATTCCTCTACACTGGAGTCTCACTGGAAACCTTCAACTCTCTTGTTTCCACCTTAGATGGATTTGCTGAAAGGGCTTTTGTTTTGTCAGTGCGTGATCAGATACTAATGACACTGATAAAATTGAAATTAAATCGTGTGCTGGGTGACCTTGGTAGGCAGTTTCATGTGTCTCAGAGTGTTGCCAGTAAGGTTATCTCCTTCTGGATTGATAAAATGGAGGAGGTCTTGCGCCCTCTTATTATCTGGCTCCCAAAAGAAACCATTAAGGCCACTATGCCAACTGCATTCAAGAAGTTTTTTCCCAACACTACCTGTGTCATTGACTGCAGCGAAAGTTTATTACAGAAGGCGAAAAATCTTGACTCTAGAGGGGAGTCCTACAGCCATTACTACTCGCACAACACAATCAAATACCTTGTTGCTGTTGCCCCATGTGGCTTAATCATGTTTATCTCAACTGGATATGGAGGACGTGCCAGTGACAAATATATCACTATGAACTCTGGTATCTTGGACTATTTAAAGCCTGGAGACGAAGTCATGGCAGATCGTGGGTTCTTGGTTCGTGATTTGCTGTTTGAAAAAAGGGTCAAATTGGTTCTGCCTGCTTTCACTAGAGGGGGTGCCCAGCTAACTGAGGAACAAGTCACAGCATCTCGCAGGATTGCAAATGTTCGGATTCATGTTGAGAGAGCAATCAGACGACTTAAAGTATACAAGATCTTGTCTCAAGTAATACCAATAAACATGACCCCCAAAATTGAAAAAATCCTCAGAATCTGTGCGGCCCTCGCAAACTTAAGGGGTGATCTCATCTGTGAGTAATAAGTGAAAACAGTGATGTTCTGAGGTTGTAGTTTCATCTGCACACACACACACACACACACACACACACACACACACTTTACACATCTACATAAATTGCTCCTGTATATTTCATATTGACACTCGCTGCCTTTTTTAATTTTTGACTGTTTATATTTACTCTTTGTATGAAATTTAGCCTGAAATGGTTTTGGATAGTCATGTTAATTCAAAAAATCTTGTATAATATGAATTACTGTTTTTTTAATATTTTTTTTATATATATATATATATATATATATGATATTTGTATTTTTGTAATTGAATTTGTCATGAAAATAGCTTTGAATGCTGATATGGCATTAAATAAAATAATCTGAATCTGTAAGAAATTTGTTGTTATTATTTGAGTTTGTGTACAATAGATTTTATCAGATTTGCATACAATTTTACATGAACAACATTATGTATTCATAAATATTCACTTATGTACAACAATACTTATGCTCAGCATTTTTACATGTATAAAATTGTTTGGGTAAAAAAATTAGTTTTCATACTGTTAACAGCAGCAGCACCTAACAGTTGTTTTGTGATTTGAACTAAATGTTTCTGAGGGATATTTTCTATTAATTCATTATGCTCATGTATCTGTTCTGCAGTTTCAGTCGCTGACCAACAAATTCATCCACAAGCTGGGGCAACATTGTTGAGAAATAAAATCTCTTCAGATGTCCTACCCTCTCCAGAACATAGGGCTCATCAAATGGTACAGTGAACATAACTGTGTCAATTGGGCTCCAGATAAACAATTTGGCCATCTTCAGACCGGCACAAAACATGCCTAATTGTATCTGCATGTAATATCCTCGACTACCGGTTTTCTGAAGTTGTGGTACTCCATCTACTAGCTTGATGTCACTGCAGTTATGGTCAAGTTGATCCAAGAGGGTAGAATGGAGTTTACTTGGGACGGGACATTTTATTTCGAGTAGGACAGATGAGTCAATTACCCCATCTGGGCTGGCTGACAACCATGGCTCTGTGACACTAACAACGATGCCCCTGTGTGTAATACTCATGCCTTGCTCTCGAAGTGCATTACCAGCAACCACCTCATTCTCCTTACCATAGTTTGTGGCATAGTTGCCACGAAAGGAGGGGTACAGGTGCTCTGCCATAAACTTATCAGGATTGGTGGATGCTCTAGAAGGAACCTTTTTAGCTGAACTTGCAGTTATTCTCAATTTTCTTGCATTGTGCCACAAATCGGAAGAACTCTGCTCCCTTGTTTCAGATTCTAAAGTAGAAGCCTGTGCACAGCTCACTTGAACATACAACTCATAGAAACTTTTACATGTCTCACATGTGAGATCAGAACCAGCATGTGTTTGATGGGGTCTTAAAAATCTTGCATCTACTGCAGTATTTGCAAGGCTACAAGGTTGCTCTACTGGTTTTACACTGTAACACTTGCCCAATAGACTGTTTTTTAACAAGAAAAGTGGCTTTGTTGGGTCTTTGTCTACATTATTTATCAATTCTGCTTGTGACATATATTGTGGGGTGTTTGGTAATGGCTGAGCACCTGACACACTAATGCTAAATTCATCTCCTGCCCTGTGGTGGCTGAAATTTATGTCCCTCAGTCGTTTTGGCTCAAGGTTCCTGACTGTCCCTGCATTCCACCTGCGCTGCTCATCTACATGCAAGCCCTGTCTTCCCGGTAGTAACTGCATTCTCAACCTGTCATGAGCACATTCACCTAAAACGTTACCAGAATCTGCTCTATATGCTTTTGCCATGTGTTTCAGATTGTGTCATCCCCACATCGCTAAACTAAATCGAAAAAAACATGCATCAAATGTGATCTGATCACGTTATTTTTTATTAAATCACAGATAAAAACAAAATGAACTTTTTTCTTTTCTTCATACCTTCCAAAGGATAGCTGATGCATGACTGCACGATCGCCCTAATCCAGCAATACATGAACATCCGGCAGTCTCTATCACCCCCGACTGCTGCAGCATAACCCAAGCAATAAGCTTAGGCTGATTAGCACTTTGACTTCTGTCTACCTCTGCTTTCAAAAATAAATAGTCTCCGTGCTTCAGTAAGGAAATGCGCCCGACTTTATTACTAAAGAAGTAATTGAAGGCCTCTGTGCTTTTGTAATTGCGCATCTCCTCATGATCTACACCCTCCGAAAAAAATAAATAATTAATAATGTCAATATGGCTAACTCCTGGCCAAAGCTTCATGTCATCCACCCAACCTGTCAATTTTGAGGGATGTAGCACTCTGATACGGTCGCCTTCACGATCTTTTGTGATTTCATCAGCGGTGTGTAGCCACCGACTACTTCCCATCTTGACAGAATAATTATCTTATACTTTAATAACTACAATCTATCACCGCAGCCTTTACGCGAGTGCTAGCATTCTATGTAAACAAACACTTCAACCGGAAGTAGAAAACCGTTTAGTCAGTTGAACCCGCTATGAATCATGGGAAATAGAACGGGCGAAGAATAAGGTGGATATGCAGGACATCAAACCGGTCCTGAGGCTTCTTGTTTGAAATAACCATAGAAACAGACTCCTCCTACTAGTCCAAACACAGTGTGCTTTTCGCCTTCCAATGCAGCAGGTGGCGCTCTGGCGCACTAGTACTTTGTACGACTTACAAGAAGAAAAAGGTCATCATTCTGTCATATGGAGATTTTTATGTTTAGTTTTTATCTATGTGTACAATCATCAGTGTCCAATTAATGATCTCAGTTTGATCTGACAAGATTTTATAGATAACTCGCGGTAAGTGTGACATTTTTTGTCTGTTGTTCTGTGGTACAATGTGCATGTTAGCTTCTAACCAGTCACACTGACAGCAGGAACATCAATGCAACTGTATCAGATCGTGAAGCTGGTTGTTTGAATTTAGTTGTTTGCAGGCAGATTCGCTTGAAATGTTCAGAGAGACCGTGCTTATATTTACGTGTTAAACTACAAGATGTCGTGTAGATCCCACCAACACAACTTAAAACATATCATCAACAATCTCTCTTACATCCTCACAGACCCACAGTAAAATATGTGGCACAAATGTTCAAAGTATACATTATGTTACAGTCTGAAACTTGTCATAGCAACACATTTGGTTAGAAAATAAAATAAAATAATATAAATTTCTGCTAGCATGCCAAAACCACATAACACTATACTACTATATTTTTTAATAATTACAAAAAGGAAACCAAAATGTGTGTGTTTGTGTGCACTACATTTTTTATGAATCAGTAAAGCATAAATTTTTTTTAAACTAAGTCTCTGAAAACTTCATAGAGTGTGAAAGAACTACACATTCCCTTTCCCTCTAGAGCTTTTTTGCAGCGTTCTGATGGTACATATTCTGTGTGGAATAATCGATTGCCCACTCTTAACCATACTTTTGTTCTTTCATTAAAAGTCTCACAGAATTTGGGTTGTCAAAAATGGAGGTGTTCATGCATCACTGTCATCACAAGCTCCCAAGTCTTCTGTCCAGGACTCTCTTCAAAGCATCAAAGAAAAGCTACATCTACTGTACCATCCACACTTCTCCTTCAGTCTCTGCCGTTTCCAAACCAGTCCTTCCACCAGTGCTTGTGTCTCGCCTCTTCCTGCCGTCCAACCTCCGGGAAGGTCAGGAGGGCGGAGACTTGACATGCCGTAGCCAGAGACTGATGCTGCAGACAGGACTTATCCATCCCTCCAACCCTGGCTGCTTCTATTACTTACCAGTCGCTCTGAGGTCCATGGAGAAGCTGGTTCGTCTCATCGATGAGGAGATGTGGGCAATCGGTGGGCAGAAAGTTGACATGCCAGCACTGTGCAGTGCAGAACTTTGGAAGAAGAGTGGCCGCTGGGAGCTAATGGGGAAAGAGATGTTCAGGCTACTGGATCGGCACAATGCGGAATACTGCCTCGGGCCGACTCATGAAGAAGCAGTCACAGAGCTTTTTGCTTCCCAGACCATGATATCCTACAAGAAGCTGCCACTTCTGCTGTACCAGGTATTAAAAGAATAGTTCACCAAAAATTTAAATTCTGTCTCATTTACTCACCCTCATGTCATTCCAAACCCAGACCTTGGTTAATCTTCGAAATTCAAATTGAGACATTTTTAAAGAAACCTGAGAGGTTTCTGTCCCTCTATTCAAAGTCCAGTAACTAAAGATAATATGCGATTGCTTTACATTGCATTTACATCTAAACAATAATAGACACACATAAATAAAGCACTTCACATATGGTAAACACGGAAGCTCAAACGTGCATGCGTGATGATGCACAAGAACAAATGAGGTTCTCATGTACAAAGTTCCTTTGTAAAAGTACTACTATTTTCAGATATGTATAGCAGTTATATAACATGCTTGTGTCTTGCAGGTAACTCGCAAGTTCCGTGATGAACAGAAGCCGAAATTTGGGCTCTTACGTGGCCGGGAATTCTACATGAAAGACATGTATTCATTTGACATTAATGAAGAGGCGGCTCTTCATACGTACCACTCTGTGTGTCAAGCTTATGGACGTATATTTGACCGACTGGGCTTGAAGTGGGTGCAGGTACAGGCTGCCACCGGCAACATAGGAGGCACGCTTTCCCATGAGTTTCAGCTGCCAGCAGACATCGGTGAAGACCAGTTACTTGTTTGTGGGAACTGTGGCTTCTCTGCCAACATCGAAACCATAGACCCAGGCCAGACTGAGTGTTCACTGTGTCAAACAGGCACACTGACTGAATCCAAAGGCATTGAAGTGGGGCACACTTTTTACCTCGGCAAAAAATATTCACAGGCGTTTAAGGCCCTGTTTGTTAATGCATCCAATGTGCCTGCAGTTGCAGAGATGGGCTGTTTTGGACTTGGTGTCACTCGAATACTTGCCGCTTCTATAGAGGTGATGTCATCTGAGGATGCTATTCACTGGCCAGGGTTGATCGCTCCTTATCAAGTGTGTGTCCTGCCACCTAAAAAGGGCAGTAAAGCACATGAAGTCACATCCATGGCTGATGAACTGGCTCAAAGCTTGGGAAACAGTCTACCCAACTTGAGAGGAGAGGTGGTACTGGATGACAGGATTCAGATGACCATTGGTAAACGACTGAAGGATGCTAAAATTCTCGGGTATCCATATGTGGTGGTGATAGGGCAAAAAGCTCTAGAGGATCTGCCCTTATTTGAGGTGATTTGTCAGCAGAGTGGAGAGACCATGTTTCTTAGTAAAGAAGGGCTAGTGGATCTTTTAAGGAGAGTTGAAACAATCTAATCTAACAATGGTTTATAGATTTTTATTTTTTATTTTTTTTGTTTACATTTTACTGGTTAAGTGATGTTCAAGAGACTTCAAACATTGCTTGTGTCAGTAATGACTGTGTGTGACATTTTGGTAATAAAACTGGCCTGTTTGTAATATTGTAATATTTTTGTCATTTTTGTCTTGATATTATAGGACCACCAAGATTAAAGTATAGCTTAATCTAGTGTCATATTGTCATTTAACCCTCTGGGCCTCTACCGTTGGAGCTGACCGAAAAATGTTATAGTTTGAAATTGTAATATTTTGTGCTATATCGGAATGGGATGACACTTGGTGACTTTTGTCGCATTAGCTATGTGAACACCAAAAAAAATCATGGACATGATTCGGATATGTCAATTTAACGGTCGGGGAACAAATCACACAAATAACACATCAAAAATGGCCGACGTAGGAAATTAATGGAAAAATGCGAAAAAAAATTAAAAACTCAAAGAATCTTTTGGTGGTACAAACTACAAATCAGCCATGGTGCAAAACACAAAAACAGCAGTGAAGGGGTTAATCTCCAAAACATTTTGAGAGCAAAATAGACACACACGCACACACAGAGAGAGAGAAATTAACTGGTAAGACTGCATCCCAAAGCAGATTTTGAGAATATGTGAAATAAAATCAATAAATCCAAAAGAGACTCTCATTCTCTCTCTTACACACACACACACACACACACACACACACACACACACACACACACCAGCCTCCGGGCCAATCACTGTATTTGTTTATAAAACATAAATTATAGGGAATCCAAAAGCCTCTCTCTCTCTCTCTCTCTCTCTCTCTCTCTCTCTCTCTCTCTCTCTCTCTCTCTCTCTCTCTCTCTCTCTCTCTCTCTCTCTCTCTCTCTCTCTCTCTCTCTATATATATATATATATATATATATAGGGAGCTATAGGTGGTGACACGCATACAAACGGAATTTTAAAAATTTTAACTCGCATACAAACGGAATCCGGACATGTTTTATCTGGTAAAGAGTCCAATTTTCCCCGCCTTTTCCGTAATGATGCAACATTAAAATATATTTTCAATTAAATATTTGATACAATATGATCAACGTAAAACTTTATATTTTTTATTTACTCTCTTTATAACAAATATTTTTGAAGCTTGAAAGTAACTTGTTTATTTTGTATACACCTTTTTTTCCCTCCAGACCAGCTGGTGGCGGTAACGTGTGTCAAGCAGCAGCAGAGGACAGGAACAGCTGCTTGCCTAGGCCATGTGGATCTTTGCTGCAGTTTATTCTCGGTTTTATCGCATTTTGGAGTTTTATTTATAGCTCTTCATAGCGGCTACATTTTGAACACAGTAACGTATACATCCAGTACACAGTAAGAGGATATATTACAGAATTAATTAAAAAAGATAAACGATGGCTGCCCCAGCGCAAGGCGAAGACAGCGATGATGGCATGGATGAGTTTATGGAGAAGTTTAAAGCACAAAAATACAAAAATGCGTTTAATGAAAGCAACTGGGAGGAGGTAAGGAAGAACTGTCACGTTATTAGTAAAAAAACACACTGGCAACAGCATGTCACCTCTAGTGGACGCGAACAGATTATTGAGGATCAAGCAGTGTGCTGTAACATTGCATTTGGCTAAAGTAGCTTATGAATAAATTCGCTTTTTATATATTGCAGGAGTTTAATAAGGTACCCATGTTCATGAAGACAGCCCCGGAAAACATAGACCCCGAGAAAAACCCCGATCTCGCCTGCATTCAGTCTATAATCCATGATGATGACAGAACACCTGAAGGTGTGCGGCTTTTTATTTTGCTATGGTTATGATTCTTTGTGAAAGCAACGTAAGTTACCTCCTATAAATGGCAATTGAATACATTTTAATTTAACTTTTTCTTTTTCCTCAGAGCAAGCCAGAGGTTTGAAGGATGAGGGGAATGATTACTTTAAGGAGAAGAATTATAAGAAATCTGTAGTGTCTTACACAGAAGGATTGAAAAAGAACTGTATGGATCTTGAACTCAATGCAATTCTATACACCAACCGTGCAGCTGCACATTTCTATTTAGGTAAGTTACATTCAGTATTCCTTGTAAATGTAAATGTGCCAGAATAATTTAGTTTTTTTTCCTCTTTGATTTATGCAATAAACTATTTCCTCCAGGAAATATGCGGTCAGCTTTAAATGATGCCACAGCTGCAAAGAAACTCAAGCCAGACCACATTAAAGCCATAATAAGAGGTACGTTTTGTCTGTAGTTATTTATCTCACAAAGCAAACCAAAAAAAAAAAAAAAAAAAAAGCACAAAGCAAAGTAAAAACTAAACTCTTTTAAAATTGCATTATTTTGTGTACAGAAAAATATAATATGTATATTTGTGTAATTTTATGTATGATTTTAGGAGCCCAGTGCTCAATGGAGCTGCGTAATTACGCTGGAGTATTGCAGTGGTGTGATGAAGGTCTCAAGCTGCTTCCCACCGACAAGAAACTACTGGAGCTGAGAGCCACAGCAGATAAACTGAAGGTAGAAATGCCTGACACACAGGAAGATATATTTATGGTGTCCCATTCTGGATTTAGAGCATTTGGTTTAAGGATTTACATATCAAATTTAGCGTGATGTGTAATTCATATTTTTCTATGAAATTATGTTGATGTCATAATTTTTTATGCATATTATTATTATTATGAGTGATGATGGCAAATAATTAGTTGGTTAATGTTTAATAAAAATATCAATATATTAATATTAAAGGTGCTGTATGTAAGTTTTTGACAGTATGGCATAAAAATACCATAATATGTTATTAGCAGATATTTAGGAAACATGCTGAGTTCACATACTCGTTTCTCTGGAAAAAAAAATGCTACAGCCAGTTATTTTACTTTGAAATATGCGTTCCGTGTCGGAATGTCTGTTTTTGTTTTGGTCTGTGCAATATCCCCAGTTGCCATTTTACCCAAAAGTATTTCGCCACCCCGAGTTGCCAGTTGGCGGGAAAACACAGCATATTGCAGCCATGGACGCTAGCAAACAAACTGTGTCAGAGATCACAGATTCTACCCTACCTAAAAAGCATCCGCACCAATCTTAAAATCCCTATGAACTGGAGCAAATTAAAACACGTTATCAACTCATCATAAATCAACTTACAGAGTCTGTATATCTCATCCCCTTCCATTGTCAGTTGTGCTCGTTCCTGTTGCGTGTCTTCAATCTGGCAACCCGCGTGAGCTTTGAGGTTGAGCAGGGGGGAGAGGGTGGGGGAAACAACTCTCCCCAATATTTTGAATTTGGACTGCAGTACCCATTTCAACCGCTAGCTGTCAATCTCACATACAGCACCTTTAAAGCTGCAGTCCGTATCTTTTCCTCTTTGTCGCCATCTCTCTGTTTAAAATCTGTAACTGCAGTGATTCGCGGAATTATCATCTTTACGTGGGTTGTAAATCGGCATGAAACAGCGCGGATGAACACAGTGCTTTGAGGCGAGTGGTGCTGTCAGTCACCGCGCTGTGTGGATACTGTCATACAGAATCACAGATTCACTTTTTGAAAGTTTGACCAACATAAGAATTTTCATAAGAAAATGTCTTCTGAACAAGTAACATCCATTTTTGTTCTGACCAACTAAGGGGGAAAAAGCATTCGACATGATAAGCTTCGTTGGATTTAATCAACGCGATTTACAGCAACCGTGCAAATCATAGCCTACTTTGTTCCCAAATTGTTCATGTTAACAACATCAGCATTGCGTGACTAATGTTAAATTTAATGTGTTTTATGGTTACCTGTGTAGTTCAGAATTCATATTCTCCATAATAGCAAAACGAGAAAGGCACAACAAAGGAAACTCCATAACTGTGTGAATTAAGAAAACGTACTGTTACACGATTGAACTATTGAAATGTCTTAACTTACTTGTTCAGCAGAAAAAAGCCGTCTCTTCTTCCGTTTTGAACCCCTTCAAAACACGGAGTTCACGCACTTTTCAAAAGCCCCGCCGATGTTTAAATCCTTGTTCGCATGAGACGGTTTCTTTCTCTTTCTCTAGCCACCTTAAATCCGAAGTACGAAGTCTTTTGGGTTTTATAACTGCTGAATCTCCAGTTGACACTGATGATTATTGTTTGGATCTTTCTGGATGCCATAAGTTTAATTATGTAAAGTGCTGCGAGAAAAGCCTATACATCTAAACATCTCGTCACGCGCAGTATAGCCGGCTAGCCGAAACTCCTTCTTTATGTGTACGGGTGTGACGTCATGACGCAAAGACATGCTCGAATTTCCCGCAGAAACCCACCAGTACCACTGGAATTAAAATCATTATTACAAGCTAACCGTTTTGAATCTAGCTATGGCAAGCAGATAGTTTTGACCACTGGCAGAATAAGTTTTTTTTTAATATAATTATTTTGGATTATTTTTAACTTAAAAAAGTTACGGACTGGAGCTTTAAATTCCACAAAGTCATTACAATTAAACTCTTCACTTTATTTTTTAATTTCTAATTGCACATTACCATCTTGTTTCTTGCTAATTTACTTATTTATCTCTTGCTTCCAAACTGTTAAATTTGTTTATAATGTGCTCATTAGTTTCTCTCTATCTCTCTTTCTCCTCCCGTTGTCTCCTGTACGCCAAGGCAAATTATATATTCTGCAAATAAATTGTAATGTATAAATTAGAGCTGCACAATTCTGGATATTAGAATCACAATTTTTTGTGCTCTATTTAACAAAATAACGTTATTTACTAGAGGTTCTGACAAAAATGTTAATTGCTGCAGTCTATTTAAATAAAATAATTAATTTTAATGATTTAAAAAAAAATTGGTTTGAATGAATGATTCAATGACTCACTTATATAGACTTCACCTGTTTCATTACTGGATAAATCAGCGTTTTTGGAAGAATCTCTTGAATGAATGATTCAATGACAAATGCTTTTTTAACAGTCACTTGTCGCCACCTACTGGTGTACTAATGTAATTAATACCATTTTTATTCAAAGCTTAAGTCCGTAACTTTTTTTATGTTCAAAATTAACAAAAAACATATGAACGAGTACATCATGAATCCATTTTCCAAACCGTGTTTTTTTCTTAATGAGTGTTTATATTAGGACTGTTTTAGACCTGTCGGGTCGGCACCGCTATGGGGTAGCCTAGTACCTGCGTAACTCGTAATAGACATAAACAGAGAGAAGTAGCTCCGGCTACATTGTTCTTCCACAATACTCATGCAGTTCTGTTTATTAACCGCTAGAGTGCCAAAAGTTACTGACTGCAGCTTTAAAGCGTCAAATGTGATTTTGATCACTACTGTAGTGAACACTGTATCAGTGTTTATATTCAAAACTTTTATCAAACTTTTATCCCAGTACTTCTGTGATAGTTTGAATTATTGTAACATAGAAATAACGATGCAGTGTGGTTGAAAAGACAGTTTGTGAAGCTGTTTCATACCTATACATGACAACTGCTCTCTCTGGGTCAATGGTAGCGCCGACACAGATCTGAATGTTCCGTTGGATTCGTACTTGTCAATATTTTAAAGATTAATCATGCAACTCTTGTATAAATGTTTTTGTTTTTTTTTGTAGAGAGAAGCTGACAAAGATGCCAGAAAGGCAAAGGTTAAAGCAAAAAAGGAGCAGAATGAGAAGAAAGCATTGTTAGCTGCCATTAAGGTACTGCAGATACTAAGTTTAGTCATTCAAAAAAAAATTCTTAAACTGAATTATGAAAAGGTGAAATATTCAATGACAGTTTTTACTTAGGAGCGTGGCATCAAACTTCTGAAGACCGAGCTGTCTCGACATAGGGGTTCGGACAGTGAGGATGATGATGGCCATGGAGGAGCATCTAAAGCTCTGGCTGATCTGGAGCTTGATGGAATGGGCTCTCAGGAGGCCACAGGAGCTTGTGTTTTTATGGATGAGCAGGGAGTCCTCCACTGGCCAGTGCTGTTCCTCTACCCTGAACACAGCCAGACGGACTTCATATCTGCCTTCTGCGAGAACTCCAGGTTTGTTAAAAACTCAAAAAGACATTCAATTTGTATCCTTGCTGAGAAAGGGAGGGCTGGACAGGGAAATTATTTATTCTTTAAATATATTGATTTTTGTGTTTTAGCTTCATGGACCATTTGGCAGTTATGTTTGGTGAAGAGCTTCCTCCTTGGGATACAGAAAGAAAATATCAGCCGCAAAATCTACAGGTCGGTACAAAAGGTTCTTTAAACACCACTTTTTGATCCATCATTGTTCTCTTTTGCTTGAGAAATGTTAATTAGATGCAGTACCACAAAGATTTGTTTTTGAACTTTGATCATATCCATCTGTAACCTCACAATCATGTTTTTGTTTCAGCTTTTCTTTGAGGATCCTGAAAAAGGACATCTTTATCAAGTTGATCTTGAAAAGTCACTTCTTAACGTTCTTCAGCACCAAAGGTATTTCAGAGGAATTTCTTCTAAGTAGTTTTATCTCTGCTTGAATTGGTCTTTGATGTTTTTTCTCTCTGTTTTGTTCTTTCCAGGTGCTTTTTGAAGGCAGGATCGCCTAGTTTCATTGTGTTGGTTTCAGGCTCTCCGTTTTCTAAGCAGTTTTTATCAGGAAAAAAGGTCAAGAGATTGAAATGATTGAAATGTTTTGTTTGGACCTTGAAAGACTTTAAAAGCCTTGGTCATAAATCTCAACCTCCGGCTACTAAGGACATTTCTGCTCACCCCACCCCTTTAGAAAACACTGGAGATGGAGGCAAAAATGTTAACAGTGATGGCAATGATTCACTTTAAAAGCAATAAAAGCATTTTTTTTTATCTGCATCTTGTATGGTATGGTATTAGACTGTTGAATAAGATTAAGAAGACTTAATTTTCATCAGTTTTTAATACAGATAGAAAACATGACAATGCAGATAATTTTTTATATATTTCAGTATTTAACTTTAATATTGAACATAAATAAAGAAACATAAAAGAAGCTGTTAAAAGTATAGCCCACCAAAAAGTGAAAATTCTGAAATTTACCCTCCAAACAGGAATGACTTTCTTTCTTCTGTGGAACACGCATTATATTTTGATGAAAGTTAGGAAACAACACTGGAGCCCATTGACTTTCATTGAAAAACACTGAGACATTTCTCTTTCATTTAGAAAGAAAGTCATACGGTTTTAGAACGTTATAAGGGGTGAGTAAATGATGACAGAACTTTTATTTAGTGTGAAGTATTGCTTTAAAACAGTTTATGGGATGATAAAATAAATTAGAATTAAAGATGTTGGAGCCTTTTAGACAACATTATCAATAAATCATTTAGTTTCTACTATATAATGCAAACCTCATTTACTGTGGATAAAAAATTAATTTGTGATGAAACTGAGCTGCCATACAGTTCCATTAAACCAGTTGTCACATATTCCATATGGAATCACTCAATGTTGTGGAAAAAGTATGGAATCTCCTTGGCCAATGCAGATTTGCGATTCATCACTGAATATCACTTTTATTCAATCATTCAAATTCCATTATTGCTTTTCTTTAGCCTACTGCATTTCATTGAGCTGGTTTTCTTACAGTTCTGTCACAAAACATTGACTCCCGTTTCCTTCCGTTTGTTTTTCAGTTGTTTTGTCGTGCCTTTTCTATTTTCAAGGCGTACTGCTTTGAATATTCAATCCTGATGCTTTGACATCTTCCTTGGTCTACCCGTGTGTTTTCCTTTTATAACCTTCCCATTTAGTTTATACTTGCACCACATTTTAGATACAGCTGACTGGAACAACCAACTTCTTTGGCCACATTCTGTGTTGAAATTCCTTATTGGGGTTTTATAATATAATATAATTTAATATAATCTTTCCATTGTTTATTAGGGTCATGTTTCCAACAGCTTGTTGTGTAAGCACTCTGATTAATTAGCATTTTTAGTCAAGTCAAGTCATCTTCATGTATATAGTGCTTTTAACAATGTAGATTGTTCCAAAGCGGCTTTACAGTGATAATAGGTAAATAATAAATTAAAGTAACAGATTGTTTTGGCTTTATGGCAGCTCTATAATAAAGTTATTTTCCAGTTAAAGTTAGTTTTGATTGATTCTCTTCCGTCGCAACGATCACTAGTTATTAACTTAGGGGCCGCTAACACAACACCGTTTTAACAGAAAACTCTTAAGTTATCTCTACGCAAACTTAAAACGCGAACCGTGAGAACGCTGATGGCGTGCACATGCGCATTAAGAGTTCATTCTAAAGGTATGCGCGTTTGAATATGTGCGCAGGCATGTAGTCCTTCCCTAAAAAACCATCCCTCAACAAACTACTTGTCTGGCCTTAAAATTTATAATACAGAATTGTATCTCTTCGGCATAGCCACGTGAACCGGAATTTTCCCGACAACGATTATCTGTACAGAGGTAAAGGGAAGGAGGCCTTCACAGGGGAGGGACTAGTTGACACTTCAGGACTGCGTTGTCGTTGTGTCCAGACGCAGGTCCTTCATCAGATCTGGATACGGCCTGGATCCGGCAGACTGCGGTAAACCTCAGGATAAACAGAGAGACTAATTTTAGCGTAGATGCCATTCTTCTTATGATGTAACGAGTACATCAGGATTTATAGGAAGTGTTCCCGGTTCTGGCTGATCTAAACTATGCAACCTATCATTGAATTATAGAAGTCTATAGACCTTATGCACCAGAGAATCGCCGGAATTTTGAGATCGCAATAGACATGACGGACAATAATGTGTTAAGAGCTCGCTCAAGTACTGGGGAGCTAAACCATTTAGTGTTTTGTAAGTAATCAGCAATATTTAAAAATGTATGCGATGTTTAATAGGGAGCCAATGCAGTGTTGACAGAACTGGGCTAATATGGTCATACTTCCTGGTTCTTGTAAGAACTCGAACTGTTGCGTTTTGGACCAGCTTCTTCTTCTTTAGTGCTGTCTAACGGCGTATGCGACTTGACGGGTCTCGGTCTAGCACGGCGTGTAGAGTTTGTGCTGTTGTTAATTGTAGCCATGTTTTGATGTTACTGAGCCATGTTGTTTTTGGCCGTCCTGGTCGTTTTTTCCCTTAGATTTTTCCTTGCAGGATTTGCTTTAATAGCTGGTATTTGTGGTCGTTTCGGGCAATGTGGCCTAAGTAGTGACACTTCCTGCTAATGATGGGCTTCAGCAGTTGCCTGTCAGTGCCCATGTCCTGCAGAACTTGTGTATTGGTGGTTTTGGCTGTCCATGGGATTTTCAGCATTCTTCGATACAGCCACATTTCGAAAGCTTCGAGCCTTTTTGTTGCTGTTGTTGTTAGTGTCCACGTCTCTACTCCATACAGCAAAATTGACCAGATGTAACATTTCAGTGTGCGCAGTTTCAGTGGTGTACTCAAGTTGCGGTCTGCGAGGAGTGTTTTCCATTTAATAAATGCTTGCCTTGCTTGTTCAATTCTGCTCTTGATTTCGACTTCATGGTTCAGCTGATCGTCAATGGTATTTGAATCGGTGTACTTGTTCCAATTTTTCGCTGCCCAGCTTGATTGTTGTTTCGCTTAAAGTTTGGCTGACCTTCATAACCTTTGTTTTCTTTTTGTTAATTCGTAGGCCCCATATTTGACTTTCTGCGGCAACTTCGTCCAAGATTTGTTGTAGATCTTGTTCAGAATCGGCCAGCAGTGCAGTGTCGTCGGCATATCTGATGTTATTGATGTATTGTCCATTGACTTTAATACCAATGTTTTTGTCTGCTAGTGTTTGATCAAAAATCTGCTCTGAGTAGATGTTGAAAAGAATCGGTGACAGTGGGCAGCCTTGTCGTAAACCTTTTTGTATTGGTGTTGGGTCTGTCAGTTCGTTGTCATATCGGAGTTGGGCTGTTTGCTTCCAATAAAGAGCAATGATGAAGTTGGTGTCGTTTTTATCTAGTCCCAGTTGTTTTAATAGAGCTCTGCCGTGCAAAGGCAAAAGACCGTAACTTCGTGTTTGGTCGAAAATTAGTTTTTTATATTTTTGGCACATTCAAGACCCCCTTTTATCATGTGGATAAGTATCTTGAGTCAATTCCGTCGTTTTTTCGAGAAAATAATGGGTTGTCTTAACAGTAACTTCCAAAAGCCCGTGAGAAACCAAGGCAGAACACCGTAACACCAGTTACCGCTCTTTGGCTTTGTTTTGGAACGCTCATTTTGAGTTAGGGTACTCTGCCTTTGTTTAGCCGCGCGTCAATATGAAGTTACGGTGCTGGCGTTCTATCAAATAATGCTACCTTTCAGATTGTACGGTGTTCTGCCTTTGTTTTGCTCTCCATTAAAATTGAAATTACGATGTAGCCGGTGTACTTTGTACAGCTGCCATCAGTCCCTGTAACTTCTGATGTCCTCAGAGCTTTGTCCAGCACAAATGCGGTCAGAACATTTAGTATGGTCTGAACCCGCTCCATCGACAAACGTGCGATAGGCTATCCATCGCGAATGATATATGCAGAGTTGACAGAAAAAATGTTACACAGCCGTAGCAGGTGAATACAACAAAGAACTAAAGCCCCGCCTCATCCAGATCGGGTACCGGACCTGGTTGAAACAACCATGCATCTAGCTGGCAGAGTGCCAAAACTTCGAGATGGGTCTGTCTGCGGACTGCAAGAGAGGGGCGTAACTTGAAGTCGGGCGTAACTTGAAGTTGGGCGTAACTTGAAGTTGTCCAAATCACACCGAACCACGCGATATGTCAGAACGAGATGTTGTTGGCAAGATGCACTGATAGATCAGTGGCAAGATGGCAGTTCGTTTAGAGACAACGGTAAGAATATTTTCCACAGATAACCGTTTAAAATGAAATGTGTCAGTCATTTTCATACACATTTTGGTATTGTTTCTAGAGTTGATAATCTATTAAAACGTATCGGTCCTCGTTTAAAGTTAAGTAAGCAATAGTTTTTTACGGTCTAAGTTACTGTTGCCTTGTCGTAATGAGTTCCTTGTTAAAACATGTTTTAACGTTGCATGAACACCCTCCCATTTCGAACTTGAGTTTAATGAGCTCGTAATTACGATTTCAGAAGTTGTAAATATCTAATTTCTGATAGCACGTGAAGGCATGTTACAAGATGGTGATCCTGCAATTTGCACCCTTGCTCTCACATGCACTCGGTTCTGGAGGATAGTGAGAGAGGAATCCTTTCTGAAGGAAGCACACTTCTTCTGGCTAGACAGTAAGTTATGTCTCTTTCCTTCTGCCCTCCTCCATATTTTTAGAGGTAAAGACCCTCTGAGCTATAGGTTAAAGTCTCCCACTCACAGCATCATGCACTCAACTAGGACATGCAGGCTCGCCGCTTTTTACATCGCAGCAAGGGCAAAGAAAAGCATTTGGAACTTTGAGCTACTCAATCTTTGTCCCACAGATGCCAGCAACACAACACATTAGATGGCCCCTGGAGTGGTCACTTGCCATTATTAAAATGTAAATGCATGTTGTACATAGATGTTGCCTAATTTATTCTTTTCTATACCAGTATACCAGTTTCCTTTGTGATTTTTGTGCAGCTGTGGTGCTTTTAAATGACGATTCTACATTTGTCCATTTATCTATGTCTGGGCCTAAGTTGTGATTCAAGTCAAGGTTCTAGTGCTAAAATTATTTTAATCATCACAATATAATCTACACTAGACTAATGCTTTTTGTTTTAGGCAATAGGTGTATCTTTTAATTGCTAAAAAAAAAATTATTGTGGAGGCACACCACTAATAAAATGAATACTGAAGACACA